GGAAAAAAGTCGGACCATAGACAGGACGCGAACCGGGGCGCTACGATTTCGCGACTGTCCGACATCCCACTTGAGCTATTACGATCGTTAATATACTGTCAAAATTTACCTTTCTATATTGTAGCAAAAGGACATTTTCTAAAAATGAATCCTAGCTAGATCGATTTATTGCCCCTGAAACTCCCTGGACACTAAATTTTATGAAAATCGTTAGTACATCTGTCAATGTCATATCGATATATAGTACTGAATCAATCTAGTGAATCGATATTTCACCCTAGATAATCGAGATCGAATCTTTTTCTGTTTTAATAAGAACTACGAAATTATTTACAATTAGTTGAATGTACCCCAACTCGTAGGGAATGACAGTTTTTCAATTCAATCATTCAATGTTATCTGTACTTTATTGTATCTTTTGATATTGTAAGTACTGTTAATATAAACACCTAACGCAAATCAAAAAAAGATCGATTTTTGCGAGATCGGTCTTTAAGATTTCGATTTTTTTGTGAATCGATTCATCCAATTTCAATTCGAATCGATTTAAAAATGTGTAAAATGAATCGCTAGGCCAGCCATTTTGTTGACAGCTTTACGTCATGCAGTCATGACGTTGCTTTCGAATTTTCGAATTTTGGTGAATAGTGGAATATTTGTGGCGGTGGAATACCGCTAAGTATCGCAAACATCCTTTCTTACAAGTGGTGGCAGGCATAAATTGTGTTTATAAATTAAAGTAGTTATAAAAGTTAATATTTTGGTGTTATATTGAGTGCAATAGCGAGAGAAGCGAGCCTGGGACGTGGGGCACCCCGACTCCGACAGGTTAGGTTAGAACTGGTTATTTTTTTGTAAACCATCAGAATTAGGAGCCCCGCGAAGCGGGCTTCCGTCGACAGGGCTTTCCTCGACTGCATCACGTTAAGTGGCGTGGGACTTCCGTCCCCCCTACTCTCTTCCCCATAAATCAGTTTAAAATTGTCATAAAAATTACGAAACATAACCTCAAAATGAGATTTTTAAAAATTTATAAAAAACTAAGTACTTCCGGCAGGAAGGGGAAGTAGGGGTGACTTTACAACCCCTCCCCCTCCTCTCACACCACCCCCACCCCCTAATTCAGGTGACTTAATTGTAAACCTTACGCGTCAAAATTAATGAAAGCTACGAGTTGATTCGAGCTATTAGTCGTCTCTCTCGCACGCGTTAGCTTTTTACTAATATAGCTGCAGCGTGGCTCTACCCCGGCACTGTGCCTCGGTATGTAACCTCATAATCAAAATGGACAAGACTTAATGACGACGATATTTTATTTACGAGTATACTATATTTTTGGGTATGAGCATTTTGAATTTGCCAAAATGGTATAAGCCTTTTATCTACACAAGCAGTTCCATTTATGATGTGATGTGTACGCTTCAGCAATTATCCATGAAATTCTTCAAAAACTGAATTTGACACCGTTGAATCATTCAGTCTTCTCTCAGCTCCCAACATAGAATCGTTGAAACGCAAGGCGTGTAGAAATATTTGCAACGATTTTTTCTCATGATGCACCGATAATTGTTTCTTCCGGTACCATCTGAATTATATCTTCCTTTCAGATATTCATGGTTTTCTTTAAAAGGTGCTGTATAATATAGGAGTCCTATGAACGCCTTCAACTCAACCATACTCAAGCATTTCATTGGAGAAAAAGTGTTCCCAAATGTCTAAAATATTTGCATTAAAGTTGAGAATATTTCCGTATCTGGGTTCTATACCTACCGCTTGTGACAATTTTAATATGTCGCCTATTCCTTGAACAAAAAGCAGGGTTTTACAATGATTAACTTCATCTATCTTTACGTTTTCTTTGAAATGTTGAGAGAGGGTCGTCATCACTAGAAGCAGAAGGCAAGGGTGAAGGTCTCGTCGAAGTAGTACGAGACGAAAATGGTTCTTTGATACAACTTTTTTCACTAGATCCTGACATATTTGATTCATTTTGACTGACCTGCTAAATTTTGTCGTATTGGGAACTGGTAATGATATTCTAAGTAAAAAGGTGTAGATAGGTGACCTAGACAACATTCGATTTTCAAAAACGGCACACTAACGCACACGTAAATAACTAAATATTACAATACCACGCTAGATTACTATAACACATCAAAGTAGGATGGCATGATTGAATTAGAGATACAAATGTAATTTACGACAATGCGTCATCATGGTGAGGGTGACAGCTTACAGTGTGTTTAGAGATAAAACAATGTTAAATCAAATTAAAAAGGTGATTAAGGACACACAAAGTTTTTATTATTGATCGATGCACACAAAGCAAAGCAAAACACACATTTTTATTGTTTCTAGTTGTGTCTGGACAACAACACTGCACGAGCTACATTAATGGGTTGAAACTGAATGCAGATATGGTAGAGCCATTCTACAGTTATCTTAAGGTCGCACGCATGGATCAGCTCGACCGGGGGAGGTCCACGCTCACACAGAATACCAGCGTAAAATAGTAGCTCAATGCTGCTATGTTTCGTATGGTGAGTTAGAGAATCTTAGTATAGATGTAGATATTTATGGGCCACAGTATCTACTTACCATCAGATGGGCTGAGCTCGAGCTTGTCACCCTTATTCTTTAAAACAAAAGAAAACATGGTTAAATATTTTACCTATCATAATAAATACAATCAGCGAGCTATGGAAAGGGCTGTGTTCGTGGTTTTTCTGCGTGATAAACTTAGAAATGAGGTTATTCAGGCAGTAGAAACGGAGTAAACGACATGGCCCAACTGATTAGTAAGCTGAAGTGACAATGGGCCGGCCATATAGCTTGAAGAACCGATAACCGATGGGGGAAAAAAGGTTCTCGAGTGGCAGCCTCGTACCAGTAGACATAGTGTAGGGTGAATCCCACTAGATGGAGTGACGACCTGGTAAGACATGCAGGTAGTCGAAGGATGCAGGTGGCTCAGGACCGTACTTTGTGACATTCGTTGGGGGAGGCCTATGTTCAGCAATGGACTTGTGAAGGGCTGTAATGATGATGATGAATAGATGCAAAAGTGATTGCTGCAAATCTCCATGACCATGACCGTGCCCGGACACTTTAGAAAATATCTTAGTGCAGGGCACAAACTAATCGGAAATACAGCGCAATGTAGGGGTAATGTTTTTAAACAAATAGAAAAAAGGCAAAAGTTGAAGTGAGATACATTGAAGGAGCATATTACACATCATTCGGAAAGCTAGAAGAAAATCCAATCACTTCTTACATTTTTTCGACTATTTTCGAAGTTCACATAAACAAACAGCATAACGTAACATTACACATAGATTAGTTTATTTTAAACATATAACACATACTTCGTTCTATTCAATGAAAATAAATACCATGACCGCTATATAACATTTTCGTTTGGGCTAATGAAGAAACGATCTTATTTGTATCATCATTTATATAATGATTTGAATTTTGAACAGAAATTTGGTAAGGAGAAACGATGTTGGACTAGGCTGAACTTCAACAGAAGGCCCTGTATCCATGATTATGTAAAAATTTTAAAAAATATGTCATTGTCAATGTCATAATGATAAGTCAAATCAAAACACCGATTAGGGATGGTCGATGTTACAAAAACATCGATGATGACATCGATGTTGATATCGATAGCTTAACATCGATGTTCGATATTTATCCTACTCAAAACATCGATGTCGGCCATTATCGATGTTACAGCACATGTACCTATTTAGTAGGTTAAAATTAGATGTACAAAAATTTTGTAGTGTTGTTTATGGTTTATTATTTATGAAATTAAAGAAATTAATCACATTCAGTGTGAAACAGTAATTTAAAAAATGGGTAAAACTATTTAGTTAATTAGTTATATTTTTTGCCGATAATGATGAATATTATTATTTTGATATTTAAATGTTCCTATACAATTATAAATCTGGTATTAAAATATTTACTATCCTAATTTATGATTTATACATAGATTTTATATTAACTACTCCTATCACGAAATAAAAAAATGATTATAGAGGAAAAATTAACAAACTTAACAAAAACAAAATAATAGACTTTTCCGTCACCTTTGTTCACACAATTTTTAAACAAGCAGCCCAGGTAGTAAGTATCCACAGCCGTTTATAAAATGCACTGTAGTATGCACTTTGCAGTGAAATTGTCTATGCTCACGATTGCCCAGTGATTTATTCTGATAAACTTCAAACAAACCATAAACTTGTTATCCCAAGCTCAAGAAAACAGCTAAATATAATTAAATTGTGTAGATACATATTGTTTCAAAATTATGTGTGTATAGATAGCAAGGAAAAAAAAAACAATTAATTTAAATGTCAATTTAGAATAGTTATTAGGTCACAGCCGATAACGACACCACAATAACAAAGCGAAAGCAGTTACAACATTGACATTACAGTTCACACTCGACGGGGAGTTTGACACAACATAATGACAGTTTTTTAGGTGATCGATGCATTTAGGAATCCTTAATTATTCAACATTTTAAACCTTTAATAGGAGATGAAATATTTAGGTGATATTGATTTCGCGGGTCCGCATTGTTCACAAGTTCTTATTAATCGATTATTGGTTCATTGACATCGATGTTTGACACGTGGCAACATCGATGTTTCGATGTTTAACGTGTGGCAACATCGATGTTAAAATATCGATGTTTCAATTTCTAACATAAATGATCATCGAACATCCCTAACACCAATATCTTAGCAATAAAGTTACATCAACTTATTGATTCCATTGATGTTTATAATGATCTTAATAAAACGTGTTTTAATTAAATTATAATATATATCCTTATTTTAATTGATATATTTTTGTGTAATAAATTTTAATTCGGGGTTTTTGATAAATCGATGTTGCATAACTCTGTAATACAAAAGGTTTTGAAATTAAAAGCTGTTTTCTTTAATAATTATTCAATTCGTTACAATTCTAAAATATTAAATACTATGGATAAGTTTTCAAACCTAGTTCTGTCTGAAAGATTGTCATCATTAGTCCGACCAGCTCATTACAAACTACAACTTCGACCAGATCTAACTACTGGTATCTTTGAAGGCAGTGTTTCTATTGATATTATTACTAAGCATGTAAATAAAAACTTGTGCTTACACACAAAGTTTTTAAATATTAAATCTGTAAAAGTGTACAACAAAGATGGCCAAGAATTAATAATAGAAAAATTTGTTGAAGAGAAGCATGTGGAGCAGCTAGTTATTTTTCTTAATAGTATTCTAACTCCTGGATCTTACAAAATAAACATCAAGTATTCTGGTGATTTAACACGCAATATAGTGGGATTTTATTTGTCCCAATTAAAAAACAAAAGGTGATTTCTTATGATAATATTAAATGTGAGGTAATGTGTATCAATGTAATATTTTTGGATTTTATAATGTTTTGCGACCTTTTTCCCACAAATGCCAACCTCATATGTGTGTGGAGCTTGGTGTTGGTTGATGGGCAAGGTTCTTGGGATCAATTGAGAGTAGAAACTATCTAAAATGCTAAATGTAGTAACTCTGTGCTTGCAACCCTCCTGCACAGTGTGATGACTACTTATCATCTTAATATTTTTTTTATTCTTTCTTTATTGATCTACCACAAAGTGATGGCTTAAAAAATCCACTATCCTTTATCTGACTGTGGGTGTCATAAGAGATGACTGAAGGAAAATAAAACGAGATAGGCAGCAGCATTGTTTTGATAATTCAAAAAAATCTGTAGTTATCAACCCACCTGCCAATGGTAAATGACCCTAAGTGTAATATGAGAAAGGCATTATATCAGCGGGGACATTTTAATGGACTGCAATGACTCAAGAAGAATTATTGAAGTGATGACATTTTAATTATGTATGCAGTTATGTTTCAAAGCATAGCCAAATTTAAAACTTATGTTCAAATATAATAGTAAATAAGTCATCATTATCATGATGACTTATTTATATTATTTAATTTTAATATATAAGTAATGATATACTTTAATATATAAATAATGATATACTGTTATTGGAGGTTTTGAAAATATGTAGGAGTAAATAAGTACTACTTTTATTTGAAATTAACCTAAATTGAATGTGATTTATGCGCAACAACATTTGTGCCGTAAAATCAGTTAAAATAATACATTACTGTGGATTTTGAATTAAAAAGATAAAAAGGACAAAATGTTTGTGATTTTTTTGATTAATTTTTCATCACTATTTGTCTATATTGCTTATTCTGACTATCTTCTTTGCAATTATTATTATTATGCAGCTTTTATTATTAGGCTGGTTATTCCAAAATAACCCTGCATAAAACCTAATACTGGTCGAAATTGTACAATACAGATATATTATTTGTGTGTACATTTTAGGACAATGGTGGCCAGCAAATTCCAACCGACTTATGCTCGGCAGGCATTCCCTTGCTTCGATGAACCTGATTTTAAAGCAACATATGATATAACACTGGTTAAGCCAGTCCCATATGTAGCACTATCCAATATGAATGTAAGTTAAATAATTTAGTGTTATGCTTATGTAAGTTTAATGGTTTTATTTTACATGAAGAGAAATATTTTGCTTAACCTTAATTACTTCTAATTAACTGCAGCTATGATTACATTAACAATAGCTATGAAAACACATAAAATATTTAAACTAGCTTACTATTTTCCCATTGAAAACATGTCAGCTTACTTAATATATATACCATTATTCTAGATTGTTATTTGAATAACTTTAGTATTACAATATACAAATATGAACCTGGAAAACATAAACAAATAGCTCTTAATGTTTTTAATTAATATTATTATGAACACTAGTACTGTGTTAAAACTACAAAATAGGTGTTAGGGATAATCTGCATGGTGGAACTTTACCTTGAATTATTTGTTACACAATTAATTTTAGGAAATATCCAGGACATTAAATGAAGATACTAAAACAGAAGCTGTCACATTTGCTACTAGTGTCCCAATGTCCACCTATTTAGCATGTTTTGTGGTATGCGACTTTGATTTTAAAGAAGCAAAAATAAACACAAATGGCATAGGAAATAACTTCACCCTTCGAAGTTTTGCTCAAAAAGATCAAATGCATAAAATTGATTTTGCACAAGATATAGGCAGAAGGGCTACAGAATTTTACATAAAATATTATGAGGTACCTTTTCCATTACCAAAATTAGGTATGTAAGTTAATTCAGTAATTAAAAAATAATTCTTGTTTTTTTTAATTGTTGAATTAATGAGAAACTTTATTTTCAGATATGATCGCTATTCCTGATTATGTGTCAGGTGCAACAGAGCACTGGGGTTTGATAACTTACAGGGAAACATCTTTTCTTGTGGATGAAGCAACAGCATCTTCAAAAAATAAAATTAGTGTTGCTAACACAATTGCTCATGAATTGGCTCATATGTGGTTTGGCAACTTGGGTAAGTTTAGTTTAAACATGTAATAGTTTTAGTTTTAATATTTCCCACATTAGACTGCAATCAGTAGCTACATGCTTTTTAAGTGTCTATCTTTACAGATTAATAATAAAAATGCATAAAAAACAACTTTTATAACATATTGATATAAGAGTTTCAGTATTGTACCAACCTTTAGTATTATGAAGGTATCAACTCTTAACTCACCAACTCATATGGCCAACTTGGCCAAAAGCTGCGGATTCATAAGGCCTCTATCCAACAGTGAATTTATTGATAGTGATAATAAAGTTATTGCATGTGAGAGTGGATTTATAGCATCGTCTATAAACTTCTTGCATTGAATCTCCTATCCGTCAGAAGCCATAAGATTCCGTTTCTCTTACTCTACCCTTACAACACCCACAGGAAGAGATTAGGTGTTAGTTTCTCTTGCTCGCCAACATTGGGTGCACATAATTTGAGATATAATAAATATCGTCGTTCTCATCATCATCATTATTACAGCCCTTCACAATTCCACTTCTGAATATAGGCCTAAATAATAAACATGTCCTGCACAAATACGGGCACTATTTTTCACACTATGCCGGGTACCAGCATCTTGGGAGCGCACGTTATTGTTGTATATTAACAAAACCACCAACAAAACTTACCATAATGATATAATTATAATTAATTTGTTAAAAAAACAAAGAAAAAGTCTTAAATATATGTAAGTAAAATTAGGTAATAAATTGTATTATAATTGGCTTGTAAGTTTGTTTAAAATGCCATAAAAAACATAAGTTGTAAAAAAAACAAGTCTCGCAACTCTTCAGGTCTTCTACCGTAAAAAGTTAGGCGATCCATGTCGAATACCAAGTCGGTTAATTTATTCAGTCCCTACTTAAGGGTCTTTCTATCTCAAGTTATTACATAATTAGCTAACCTAAGAACATCTTATTGTGACCATATCAATATTAAAAATCTTTTGTTTTAAATAAATCGATTGACTTGGGCCATTGCATGGAAACACAATGTATCTCACAAGTAATACATACTATATTAAATTAGAGTCAATCTATTTAATTAAATTAAAACATAAAATATATATACATACAAGTAATGTTTTTGATGGCATCTCATTTCTTTTTGTAGATAGTCCTATTTTTTTTCCGGTACGTTCCACTTCTTGAATACCAACAACATACCTATCTGCACCTATTATTCCATTATATTATGTTATATTATATATATAATATATATAATATATATATATATATATATATATATATATATATATACAGCCGGGCTAGCATGAGCAGGGGATAAAAATTTTATCCACCGATTATATCCACTGACAAGGGATAAAATTGTCTTATCCCTATGTCAAAGCTTTATCCACTCTGCAAGCATGGGCCTATGGTGGATATAATATCGACAGTAGATAAACTTATCCCCGCGCATAGATAATATACGATAGCAAAGATGTTTTATAAAACATCTTTGTACGATAGTATAAAGCTATAAACTATACTAGCTATAAACTTTTAAGATTAAGTAGATTTCCATGAACTTATATTTTCTTTTACCTTTTGTTTATTATATTGCTAAACTGTTAATGATTTGTGTTAAACAATATGTCATTTATAATATTTGTTATATTTATTTTAAGAGTATTTCTGCCTTGTTTTTATTTTTTCTATTATTCTAATTCTTTCTTTATTTTCTTTTGTATAATATTTAAGTTAAGTATACATTGCTTGTATCAAATCGCAGGTATTACTTCGCTTGTGATAGCATTTATTAAAAAAATATGTGTCTAGAATTAAGCTAATTGCGAAACTGGACAATACAGACCCTTTGGAGGTGGTGTAACCTCTTGAGGAAATTAAAAAAAAAAACTTATCCCCGCAATTACTGCCATTATAAGAAAATTACAAAATACATCAAAATTGATGTCTACTCTAAGTCACAAAGATTTAATTTTAATTGAAAATGATGACATGAAGAATAAAAATGTAATGATTTCAAACAAAACAAGGAATAAATAATTTTATAATCATGAGTATTGTGTTATTTGTATTCCTAATATTATGTATATTAGTTTTAAACTTGTATTTAATATTATGTATATTAGTTTTTAATACTTGTATTTACTTACACAAGAGGCTAATTAAAGTATATGCTCCCCACATTCTAATGATGGCCCCAATAACTTAGCTCAAGTATTTGCTGATTATTTGTTGTTTGAACAACAGCCATGCCATGGTCTTGACTCGTACCTCTCTCGTAGGTAACTACCATCTGCCAAGAGACTGAAAGATGTTAACTACCTACCTAGAAAAATATTAAGATAAGTTACATAAGCCACATGTATTGATTGCAAATATACGATGTTTTTGTACAAGGTGGTTGTAATAGATGCTTACTTCAATATGCACTGGTAGTCCATCCACAGAATTAATAGGCTTAAAAGCCTCATAGAGGTCTTTACACAAATACAAAACAATCTTTGAGCATCCGAAACCGGCGTAGAAATTCGTTGTCGGAGAATTCCAATAGATTAAGTATTTTGATCACGTATCGATTGCTGGTGTAATTTTCTTGTTTTTCAATTTCTGACACGAAAATTTAGTTGCAATAGGCTCGAGACATCATTTTCGTATTAAAATGGTTTGAAGATAAACTTAAACCCACGTCCGCAAAAAGACGATAAAATTGTCCCTTTCAAATGTCAAAAAGGGATAATTTTCTCTCTTTCCCTTGGCCTCATGCTACGGACGGGGAGATATACAACTACTCGTTATGTCAAACGGGGATATACTATAGAGATAAGACAATTTTATCTCTTGTCAGTGGATATAATCGGGGGATATAATTTTTGTCTCTTGCCCATGCTCGCAGGGTGGATAAAATTAAGCAAGGGATAAAAATTATATCCTCTCGCCGGGGTTATATTGTCCCCCGCCCATGCTAGCCCGGCAGGTATGCTGATTCATTCATGCAAATGTAACTTTGTAATCCTATATATTTATATAGGATTACAAAGTTATTTATGCAGTTGGTGTATCTAGAAAAATGGACCGAAATTACAAAATATTATAGTTTTTTCTTGATTTTTACACCAAACACTAGTTGTATTCTAAAATTGAAGCTTCTATGTCTGCTAGAAGTGCCTTAGAGTTTTGATGATCGGTCAGTCAGTCAGTGAGTGACAAAATTACGAAACTTTGACTGGTTATAACTCTTAAACTACTGGTTCAAATTGAATAAAATTTGAAATATGCCGTTTTTATACAATGCCTGCTTTATTACTGAAAATTCAGGCTACTAGTTTTATCCTCCCTATAGCTTCGTACAACGAAATAAGTCGAAAATGGCCTGAACTGCTTCGAAAAAAGGATAGTACGGCCGTGCCGCTTTTTTGCTTGACTTGGTGGAGGCACTGCCGTGCCCTCAGATTATATGTTTGGTCCCATATCCATGAGCACAAAGTTTCTTCCTATATTTCAAATGGAAGTCTACTAGAATAATTTTTTCGTTTTTTTCAGTAACAATGAAATGGTGGGATGAAGTTTGGCTGAATGAGGGATTTGCTTCATACATGCAAGTTAAAGCATTAAATGCTATCGAGCCTTCTTGGACCATGGTAAAATGATCAATATCTCATTTTTAATAAAGTATCGCTAGCCCCTCAACCCTCTTAAAATTCCCTTGCAGTCGCATGCGTCAGTCAAATCCCGAGCGGTCGCATGTGACCGAACCCACCCACAGCACTTTAAACCACTAAAACTTATATTTATAGACTACTTTTCTATGGAGAAGTTTGGCATTATAGAATCTATACGAAATTCTCTATCCTGTGGTCTAAACAAAAGTCAGTTCATATAGTGTCATAAAAACTTATATTTATAGACTACTTTTCTATAAAGAGGGTTGGCATTATAGAATCTATACAAAATGTTCTATTCGATAGTTTAAACAAAAGTCAGATATTCAATGGATTAATCACAAATTACAAAAATACTTTATTTTATTTTGATAACTACATACCAAGCGAATGCCGGTAGCGTGAAAATTACTATTATTTCTATATATTATTCCAAATTATTTACGTAAACAGATAAATTATATTAACATAAAAAATTTCATAACAATTTTATACTATAAAAAAACTGTTCTTAACTTATAAAAATCTAAAAATCAACGTAACAATGTACAACAACGAACACACGACAATGACGCACTTTGAATGTGGATTATAAATGAATATCTATAGATAATTGAATTTTTATTCAATTAGAGGATAGAAAATTTCAAATTGATTCTATAATGCCAAACTTCTTCATAGAAAAGTAGTCTTTAAATATAAGTTTTTATGGGTTATAGTGCTGCGGGTGGGTGCGGTCTCATGAGACCGCTAGGGATTTGATGGAATATGGCCGCGATCTCATGAGACCGGTTGAGCGGCTAGAAGAACCGAATTGATAATTTTGATATTTTCAGCTAGATCAATTCTTAACAAAAACTCTACATCCGGTGCTTGTGACAGATGCGAAGCTCTCAAGTCATCCAATTGTGCAGACTGTGGCTACCCCTGACCAAATTACCGCCATTTTTGATACCATCTCCTATAATAAGGTAATTAAACTTCATCTTTATCAGCCTGTAAAGGTCCAATGTATGAAATAGGACACACCTGTTCTAAGTGTGGTTTTACAGTGCCGCTTTCGCCAGCGCGGTTGATACGCGTCGCGGGCCACGAGCGTTGCGTCTCTTAGATCGTTACATAGTTTAACCACACGTGCGGATAGCCCGCGCTGGCGGCAATTCAGCCACGTGTTTCAACAGTAAACGATTTAGAGAACGCGCCTCTCAGCAATCTTGTGGCGTTGTAAGGATGTACTTGTATACGTCGTCATCGTTTCCTTTTTTCCATATGTAATATAGAATAATAAATGCGAGAAGTCTCATCACGACAAACCGATCAAGAGTGTACGAGGCAGCAAACCGCACGACTCTAAGCTGGTTTTGTAGTATCGAGCGGGTCATCCGCGTGCTTACGGGTCGCGCTTACCACTCGCGCTGATGGTAAGCGTCACTGTAAAACTACACTAATATACATACATCTGGAGTACATCTAGTAATTATACGGCTGGTGTAAACGAGATGGATATACCGCAATCTATTGGATGCTACAAGATTTTTCCGGTATTTCCTATCTTTGAGGGTCTCTTCAGCAAAAATAACACGAAACCATTTGGGAAGAGGTGTTTTGTTGAGACCTGTAATGATACGCAAGCAACCTGTGTTCAATCTCCGAATAACAGAACTTAATTAAAATTGCAATTATTACGTTATATCTGGTGATATTAAATATAAGTTTAGTTATCGATTCATAACATGCTTGGATGCGATGGAAGTATCATAAGTAAAACTACATGTCTGAGAAGTAAAATATATTTTAGGACATATGGAATCCTAAAACCCGCACTGCAGCAGCTCTATTGCTTCCCCATAGTATTAGACGAAAGCTTATACGCATTAATTGAATTAATTTATTGCTTATAGAAACATTAACATGTATAAAACAAGATATCGTATCGCTTGTTCCATGGTCTGGGGAGTTACGTGTAATGATACTTATTGCGAAATACTTATATTTTAAATTTTACAGTTTTGATTATATACTAATGCTTCAATCAACGGTCGGTCGCTATCTTTCTCCTCTCGCGGTGCAGAGCACACCATATCTGTCTCAGCCCGCAACGAAACGGGATTTTCGCCTCAACGTAAACATCCATACATATCCATCCATACATAATATTCGTTTAATACAACTTTTATCATCATTGTCAGCCTGCAGCAGTCCACAGCTGGACGGCCTCTCCCTGGGCGTGCCACTTAGTCCGACCTTCGGCTTCACGCATCCAATCGCTGTCAGCCGCCTTGTGCAGATCGTCGTTTCATCTTGTCAGGTGGCATCTCACACTGCGTTTACCTATCTGCGGTCTTCACTCTATGACACGTTGACTCCAACGGTTATCGCTTCTGAGACATATGTGACCAGCCCATGATCACTTCAGTTTGCGAGTACTGAAGGTTATATCGGTGCCCTTGATTCTCCGGCCGATTTCTTTGTTATGAATCTTATCCACAAGATAAACTTTAATCATAACTCTTTCCATCGTTTGCTAAGTACCTAAACTGAGTTTGAGGAGTAGCCATACCGTTAACATTTCACATTTCGGCACTATATGTGAGTATGGGCAGGATGAAGACATTCGTCTTTTAGCTTTGCCGTATGAGTGACTAGAAGACCTGAACTTCAGTTTAATGTTAAGTCGAACAAGCATTATAATATCATATTAAATGAATAGGTAGAATACAGCTTCCCTACCCGCATCCCTTCATAGGTAGCATTCATATTAGTACATACTGTTGATGGTACAGATACGTCCGAATTACAGGGCATGTTTTGTTACCACATAGTATTCTTATTTATTTTATCCTAAATTTCGAAACTTAAGCTATGTTAGTTATTAAACATTATTTAAAATTATTATCAGGGAGCGTCTGTACTCCGTATGTTGGAAGGTTTCATAGGCGAAGAAAACTTCCGACGTGGAGTGTCAGACTATTTGAAGAAGTATAAATTTGGAAATACTGTGACACAAGATTTGTTATCTTCATTAGAACCTTACTTCAAGATGGACAATCCCGAGTTAGATCTTTCGTGAGTATTTTAAATATTAGTTTGTTAAACACAAATGTGTACCATAATAAGTTTTATAGTGTTTTTTGTTTCTTTCATTTATTTTATTCAAAAATATATAGGTATGCTTTTTTTAGTAATCTGTTCCCAAATTAGCCTATTTCTGATTTTGATTCTGATCTCTATCCAATAGTATCGGAACGTTGGGCTATGGTACTGAGGAAATAGAAAGTGCAACTGTGCTTGCGCATACGCTCGTGGAATATAATTCTATCCTGCGCGGATGGCGAACCTCCGTTGAGACTGGTAAAACTCGGTCTGGAGGTTGTTATAATTGTTATATCTTTGTTAACAATTACCAAATCGTTAATGTAAACAGGCTTTCCCACAACTAAGGTCTTTGCTCAACTCGATTCCTCGGATCTTTGCTCAATTTGCCTCCTCATCTATAAAATTTTTTTATAGAACAGGAGGCTAACGAGCATACCGTTAACCTGATGTTAAGTAACTACCGCAACACCAGGGGAATTGCTTCAACTAGTATGTTGTTTAATTAGGGATATTTGTGCACGTATATAGATAGCAGTGGTAGATGACTGAAATTAGGCGATGTCGTTAAATTTAATCATAATACGCTCGTAGTATCATTAATTTTAATCGTTCTGGTGAAATTTTCTCAACAATTACAATTACGCTACGCATGGCGATTTTTCCTTGCTACACAACTTAGAAAAGAGGTAGAGGCTGTGTGTGGGATTTATAATATTCACCCACTGAAGGTTATATTTGTTCGGAATTGTGTTCCTACCACGGAACGAATAAATAATTTGTCTTAATGAGCCTGTATTTATTTTACTACTGGTCTTTATAAGATATGTAATTAATCGCCGTTATCGCCACATTTGACGGGTGGTTTTGCGGTCATTATATCAGGTTAAGCCATATAGGCGCTTCATAAGAGAATCTATAGTCTCATTTCGTCCCTTAGGTTTCGTAAGAGTCGACTAGGTGAAAAGTTGGAAAGACCTCGCGGACTTCAATACATAGCGATATACTATCTTGTATGTTTAGGACAGCTGTAAATGCATAGATTAGCGACAGGGAACAGCGGTGAAATTTTACAGGCTACTGACGTGCAGTAAGAATACCATACCAGATATTCCGCAACTTTGAATTTTCCTCAAAATATACTTAATATACTTTACTAATTTTAATGTAAGATAGGTATAGTCAAAGATGTACAGAACACAGAAATGTTTTTATTTGTACTGTTAACCAATTTCTAATAATTTTTAACATTTATGTTTAATTGCATTACTTTTTACAAATATTCAGCTACATTATGGATACGTGGACTAAACAAATGGGATATCCTCTTTTAAACGTGAAACCAAGCGAAGAGCCGAACACTTATATCATAACTCAGACTCGGTTCTTGCTCGATTCCAACGCTGTACAGAAAAATGACTCGGAATTTAAGTAAGTATTGTATTCATTTCGCCGTGTGGTTGCGGCGGAGGATTTTTTTTATTAAACTGGCTTTACGGCTCTGGGTTCTAGCCCTTCTGAGCCTATCATTTCTTTCGGAATCTTCATTTTCATATATTTTTCTTCACTATATGCTGATGCGTCACATTGTGATGTTTTTGGGAGATTTTGACGACAGCTCAACCCAATGGACAGTTGATGACGACAGCCACTCAAGTTCATAAGGCGCCCAAGCGATCAAATTAACTTGAGGTTTATATCAACATCAAAGCATTTGTTTCGTCGTTTTCTCTAATAGTTCACACGCGCGGACACTTAATTCACAAAATCGCATCACTTTTACGAATCAAAATCCACTTCAATCCATTATTCAAGCGACAAAACTGGAGCGAAAATCCGCCGACGGCCAAGTTTCCGCCAGAACTCCCCGCGGCGGAAGAGAATTCACTTTACCATGTCCCGTGGGTATAGTAAGGGGCATAAAGGGGAACTGAAACAGGTGATGCACATCAGCATCTTCCTGATAGCAAATAATAAAAAAATCACAGTTGTCAACGCGCCTGCCAAGTCTGGTAATTATGGCAAAATCCCATCTGTAAGGCAATCTAACACCTATATTCAGCAAATGACTTTGACAGGTTGTAATAAGCTGATGTATTGTTATATTAACCTAGTAATCCTGGTTAGGTTCCCCACAACAGCAATGAATTTGTTAACTGCAATTATGAGTGCTGATTTATCACATGCTCGGCGATAAAGGAAAACGTAGGGAAGAAATCTGCATGTCTGAGATTTTTTAAAAATACAATAATTAAAAGACATGTGAAGTCCGCCAACACTCATTGGAGCAGTGCGTCGGATATTTCCTTGCCCCACAACCCTCTCAGGAATGAGAGTACTTTGCAAGAAATTCTTAGTAGTTGCCCGGAGTCAGGAAGTTGGCGGTGTCTCACCCCCGTGCCTCGGAAAGCACGTAAGGCCGTTGGTCCTGCGCCTGATCTGTCTCCGGTCGTGTCGCCTTACCATCCCAACGGATTATGAGAGTGAGGAAATAGAGAGTGCACCTGTGCTTGCGCATACACTTGGGCACTATAATCCTGAGCTTTTATCTGAACTACTAATCTTGTTGCATCGAAAATATTTAAAGGTGAACTAAGAAGCGTCTGTGTTAAAATGACATTTCATATATTTAACGAATGTGACCAGGATTAAAAAAGGAATACTTCAGTGGTTTGGCCACGTAGAAAGAATGAACGAGGTTAAGAGTGACAAAACAAATTTATATTGCAGATGTGAACGGTAGAGTCGGGAAGGGACGCCAAATTGGCAAATGGCAATATATTGAAAACAGGCTAAATTAGGAGTACCCTTAACTGACGAGCGTGTATGCGTAGATATATGGATGTAAAAGAGACGAGAGAGGTGTGTTAGGATCGTGCCAAATGGAAGTCCGTAGTCTCTGTCTACCCCTCTGCGTGACAGGCGTGAGTGTTTATGTATGTATTATGTATAAGGATGGTTGCTCTTATAAATGATTTCTGCATTTATAAGTTGAGCAACCTGTACACAAGCTTACTAATAAATGATCGCCCTACGTTCGCTACAACAAGCCGAACTACAGGGACCCGAGGGACGTCAGGGGCGCTAATTGCGCCACCTTCATTCACTTTAAACTCTGACGTCGCGACGTCTTTAATACTTTTAAAATACAGTTTCTAACAAAAAACAATAATATTTTTTTTTGCAGTTACCGATGGTTTGTGCCAATCACATATAAAACGAATATAAAGCAATGTCAGAAAATACTATGGTTTCCCGATACAGCAGACAATGGTAGTCACATTTTTATATATGTTAAATTCAATAGTTTACGCTAAACAATTATACTACACTATTATATTTTTGCCTCATTTCTCTCTCTCTCTTTCTGGGACTTATAGGTTCCATGTTTATATGAGATTTATATCAAAAAAGAATGTGCCAACTGTGTTACTTTCCCAGCATTGTAAAAGGCGACTAATGGGTTATTGAGCCTGCCATTGTGTAGCCGACAGGATACACAATGGCACTTATCACTTTTTTTAACTTTTTTATCTATTACCCTATACTTGTGTATATATTTTTTTTCTAAACGTGGTTCGAGTGGCTCGCTGCTTATTGGACTCTGCCTACCACCTCGAGGATTGCGGGCATGACCCATGTATAATATATGTACTAGTATATAATATAAGTGGTTGCTGTGGCCCATAGACATCTACATCTATCCTCATTTGCGAATCAAAATGAAGATGCGTTGTCAGCCTTGAGGACTAAGATGGAATGCCTCTTTTCCAGTAAAAAGGGTCTCTGGTTCTCTACACTCACCATATGAAACACAACAGCATTAAGCTGCTATTTAACACTGGTATTCTGTGAGAGCGTGGTCCTTCCCCAGTCGAGCCGACCCATTCGTGCTACAACTATACAATTAATATTGCTGCAGCATGCCTCTACCACGTAATAATATACAATATATATATATATATATATATATATATATATAATATATAATATAAAATATATATATATATAATGTCATAGTTAATGTGTTTTTATTTGTGTTTGAGTCCTCTACAGGGGTTTTATTGACGTATATGTTATGTTCTTAATATTCGTGAATAAAGTTACCTAAACTTTTGTCACATTGGAGTAAAATGATTTTTATTAATTAAAAATTTAATCTGATGATTAAAGTCTATACTTCTATACTACAGCCTAACTATGACTCGTCCTTGCTATTGTATATGTCGATTTGCAGTGGTAGATTTTTACTGTCTGCTGACGTTGTATACAGGCACAATTCAATATTTTAGAACCAATTTTACCCTTATACACGACGAAGCAAACTCGAAAAGTAATGCGTGGAACGTGTGGTGAACAGTGACTGTCTAAGTGATGCTAGCCGTGACACGGTCGAGCGAATATTTGCACAAATATTGGATGTTTGTAGATAGTTGGCATTCCACTGTTTTATGTTCTAAATACCGGTAGAAATACGCAATTTACTAAAATGATGCATATCGATCATATATAGGGCAAATAAAGAGATCAATAAGAACTCGCGTAAAAGTACACATAGCTGACGTGAACGTCATCAACGTTCCGGGAAGTCTGCAGTTTGCGATTATATCCTAGACGGCCCCAACCATTACATCAGATTTGATAGACCACAAATCCTCGCGAAAGAACACCGATTCCTACCAAGGATGATACGTGAGGCTATTGAAATTAAAAAACATCCTAATTTCAATAGAGAAGGTGGCTGGGTACTACCACCTGCTTGGGACCCTATAATTAATAAAATTAAAACTAAACCCAAGCGTACCACTGCAAGACTTTACAACACAGTTAGTTCATTTTGCATAGATCAGACCAAAGACAATAATTAAAAAGCTGAAGGTACTCCGGGTTAACTTTGACATTGGGACGTCAGTCACCTCAGTTCCCCGTGACCATGGGTGCTGGAAAGCACCCGAAACGTCGGGAATTAAAAATTATAATGTTTTATAAAATGATGCATTTTCATTTTCAGTAATACTTAAACTAAAGGATGGCGATAATTTATTAAAAATTAATAATAATCTAGTTGGCTACTACAGAGTCAACTACGCACTTGATATGTGGCAGAACTTGATACAGCACTTAAGGACCAATTCTGGACAGGTAATATAAGCAATATATTTTATAAATTGTTGTAGTCCAATACTTCTCATTTGCGTTCCTATAAGTTCAGAATGTAACAGAAACACATAAATTTTGAACTAAGTAGAGCTATATTATGCGCGTAGCACGACGAATGGGTCGGCTCGACCAAGGAAGGACCACGCTCTCACAGAATACCAGCGTAAAATATCAGCTTAATGCTACTCTGTTTCGTATGGTGAGTGTAAAGAACTGGATACCCTTTTTACTGCGAACAAGGAATTCCATCTTAGTCCACAGGTCACCCCAGCACAACTGCACTTTGCTTCTTAATTGAAGATCGATTTAGATGTCTTTGGGCTACAACATCCACTTACCAGTGCTCGTTTGTCACCCTTATACTATAAAAAAATATATTGCTCAACAACTTGAACTAAGCCTCTACCTAATTAACCCCTCAATCCTAATAAAAATCCCATGCGGTCTCATGCGCCCGGCAAATTCCGAGCGGTCACATACGACCGCACTCACAACCAGCACTTAAAACCATTAAAACCTATATTTAGGGACTACTTTTCTATGAAAAAATCTGGCATTATAAAATATATACAAAATTTTCCATTCTAAACAGTCGTTTTACTTCATTACAAAAATTTTTTACTATATTTTGATAACAAAAAGAAAAACACAATTATTTCAATATATTACTCGAAATTATTTACGTAAAAAGATAAATTATATTCACGCAAAAATGGCGTACGAAATGAACATAGATTATAAATGAATATCTGTAGGATAACTAACTTTTTATTGCACTAGAGGATAGAAAATTTCATATTGATTCTATAATGCCAAACTTCTTCATAAAAAAGTAGTCTCTATATATAAGTTTTTATGGGTTAAAGTGCTGTGGGTGGGTGCGGTCTCATGAGACCGCTAAGGATTTGACGGAATATGGCCGCGGTCTCATGAGGCCGCTAGGGGGTCAAGAGGTTAAAGGGGTTTTCCGGCTAGCGTGCTTGCGCTCCTAACCTTTATTTGGTGTGTATACCTAGCTTATAAGATGGTTGTATCCTATAGAACAAGCTTACAAGTATAGATATACAACAAGTATAGTAAAGGGTACAGTGAAAATTTATAGAATATTATGGGATATCCTCTGCCTCGAAAGGAATGGAAGGATCAATATAAAAATACACCTGTTTTACTTATGCCCCTTTCATAAACACTATGTGAAGAGTTTGTATTTAACTTAACCTTGGAATTCATCGTAGTTACTGTGGTAAAACATCTTACTGTGTCTCATACCTTTGACGCTGCTCTCACTGGCCTGAGATTTTACACCTGACATACAAGATGGTAAAAGGTCTCATCTTGTATATTAGATCTTTGTCTATTACTTTACCTATGAGACGAAATGAGGTGATGCAGCAAATACCAAGTTTAAAAAACCTTAATCATGTTTCAGTTGACAATTTCCGATAGAGCCCACTTACTAAACGATGTGTTCGCTCTAGCGGAGGCCCGCATAGTGCCTTATGATTTGGCTTTGAACCTCACTACCTATCTTGTCAAGGAAAGGGACTACGTGCCTTGGGATACTGCCGCTTCTATATTTGGTACTCTATCAAAACGGCTGCTTAATTCTATGGCTCACAACGATTTGCAGGTACTGTAGAATCCATTTATATTATATTTTCATAGCGTGGATGTCCACGCTACAGCTATATTATGGTTGTAGCACGAATGGGTCGGCTCGATCGGGTAAGGACCACGCACTCACAGAATACCAGCGTAAAATAGCAGCTTGATACTACTGTGTTTCGAATAGTGAGTGTAGAGATCCGGAAACCCTATTTTACTAGAGACGAGGCATTCCATATTAGTCCTCAGGGGTGACAACGCATCTGCGTTTTGATTCTTAATCGAGAATAAATGTGGATGTTTATGGGCCACAGCATCCACTTATCATCAGGTGGACTGTGTGCTCGTTTGTCACCCTTATTCTATAAAAAAGAAACAGCATATAAAAGCGTAGGCCTCCACCATAGATTGCCTCAGTGGATTTTCCATAGTTACCATACTTGACAGGCTAGTTGACAACAGCGGTTTGTATTATTTAGAGTTCTTATCACCTTATCAGTAAGATGCTATTGCCGATCTCTTTCAGTAGTGGATATTCTTGCACCGCCACTGTATGCTGAATGCTGTATGTATTGTAGAATGTTGACAGATAAATTACTCGGTTACTTTACGTATAGCCATACACAATCAAATCTTGGGCATTGTAAAGTAAAAGTAAAGTTACAGCCTATATACGTCCCACTGCTGGGCTCAGGCCTCCCCTCATTTCTGAGAGGGTTTAGGGCAAGGAAGTGTCCGCCGCGCTGCCCAAATGCGTGTTGGCGAACTTCACATGTCTTCGAAATATTTTTTTTTCTTATTCCTCAGACATGCAGGTTTCCTCACGATGTTTTCCTTCACCGCCGAGCACGTGGTAAATCAGCACTTAAAATTGCAATTAACAATTTCAATGGTGCCGGCGGGGATCGAACCCGGGTTACTCGCGTTCTGTTATATTTACAGCATTTGGGCATTGGTATCTCCCATAATAGGGAAAATTTGCCGCAAACGTTTCGCAAGAGAATTGGCCAATGTAGTACCAGCCCGATGTCTCGAACTTGCGCGACTCTTTCCCGTTGCCGGCCTGGATATTATATATGATTTTCTCTTAATTTTATATGAATTAAACTTTAATTATACATATTAAGTTATATTTTTGCATTGAGATTTCCGTATGTGCATGTATATACCGCCATCTATTGGTATCAAGAATTTTGAATTTTGTCTGTGAAGAAACAGTCTGTTTTACCCCAAAGCAACTTCTCTTTTTTTTCTGTTCTCTTGTTGTATTTCGTGGAGCCGGTGTAATTACTACCGTTGTAAGGCACTCCGTTTCTGCAGGTAACCGTGAGATGCAAATGATGATGAGATTTATACATCCGCATTGACGTTTACTAACTACTAACAAAGACATCATGTTTACTACTCATTAGTGATCGAAAGATAGGCGACAAAAAAGGAACGGCACTTACAACATTTTGTACACGAATTAATGTAATTTCCTTTTTTTTTACAGAAATATGTTCAACAGTTAGTTGAACCACTCTATCGGCAACAAACTTGGACTGAAACTAATTTGAATGTAATCGATGGGTAAATATAAAATTTTGCTAATTAAATTGCTAGCTGTAAGTACATTCATTATTCTTCATCATTACAGTAAATTACAAGTCAACTGCTGAACATAGGCCTCCCATACAGATGGTCACAAAACATGTTCCTTCATCCAGGTTCCTAGATTCAGGTCTTCCCCTTTTCCGAGTGCCTGTAGGACCTGGCCATGACGTCATGCTAAATGTCCATCGCTCGTCGCTCATTCTCGCAGGACACGTAGTCCTGCCCACCTCCATTTTAACATTAGAGCGTACGTGAGGGCTTATACTTTTGCCTGATGATAGTGTGACGAATTTTCTGACTTTTTCTAATTATTGTGATGCTTCTTTCCATGCTTCGCTGGCAGGATGTGATTTTGACTCTTCGTGTGAACTTACAAGTTTGGCAGGCGTAGGTTAATGATGGCAAAAGACATGAGTCTATGACTTTGCTCTTGACTTTCATTGGCATCTGACTTTTTGGAACTTCCTTTAGACTCCAAAAATTTTTCCATGTCCTTATTATTCTTCTACCTACTTCTGCTTCATTGTTTTATTAAAAAAAATTTGTTTGCCGAAGTGGATATAGTTCTCGACGTACTCTACTGGCGTGTTGTCAAGACATATAGTTTTTTTTTATAGTGAGGATTAAGATGGAATGCCTCGTTTCTAGTAAAAACGTCTCCGGTTCTCTATACTCACCATACGAAACACAGCAGCATTAAGCTACTATTTTACGCTGCTAACTTGAGTCACCAAATTTCGCTTGTTATTTTTCTTTGTTTATTAATTTTAGCTTGATTTATCACATCGTCTGAGTAACACTTGATGTAAATTTACGATTTCACTTTTAGCTTCTAATATATAAAAAAAAAATTTATTTCACTTTAAATATGGACTCGATGTGAAAAATGGCACTGTGGCGCCTTTTTCCTCGTATAACTCTTCATAATAATAGTAATCCATCTATAGTACGTTTTTAGGGCAGACGAAAAAACGTAAATTGACCTCAAGTATTATGTTAGCAACGAAACAAAACGACAGGTATTGCTTCCATACTATTCTTTATAGATTACGTATCGTTATGCGCTAAGCGTGTCTCATGGTACGGGGTAGGATGAAGGAAGCGGTCCTTCAGAGATAACAAACCTGTTGCGCAAGATTTGTGGTCTCACGCCGTGCGTATTTGAGAAAGCGGATGGAGCAGAACCCATTCCTCATTCTGCTTTGGAATACACTTACGTGTAGATAGTTTGAGATTTAAAATTTTCGGTTATGGTAGCTGTTTTAATTTTTATTTACTATTGTAATTAATGTGAAAATTAGTTTAAATGTGCAGATGTTATTTTCTCTTACGCAATCATAAACATAACTTATAAAAAAACACTAATCAGTCTCTACTTAAGGGTCCTTTTGTCTTAAGTTATTACCGTAATTAGCTAACCTAACAACATATTATTGTGACCACATCAATATTAAAAATCTGTGGCGGCACCGTCGTCGCGCCATAAGCGAAACACACCCTAAATCCACACCAAACCACAGCCTAAATCGCGCTATCGAAGCTCCGAATCATAAACAGTATCTATAGAACAACTCCGATCTATCACACGGAGCGTTGGCCGCTCCCCGGGCAGAACACCTTGCCCGGCGGGAGATCTCCCCTTTTTCTTCCACGGCCACAAATCTTTTATGTTTTAAATAAACAGATTGCTTTGGTAATCGCACTAAACATTCTAATATAATATAATATGTATTACTTGTGAGATACATTGTGTTTTCATGCGATGGCTTTTACGTCTTGAATACCGACAACGTACCTATCTACGTCTATTATTCAATTATATAATACCTATACAAGTACACTGATTCATTAACTGTAAATGTAACTTTGTAATCCTTTATATTTATTTTGGATTACAAAGTTTTTTATGCAGTTGGTATATCTGGAAAATTGAACCAAAATTGCAAAATATTTTAGTTTTTCCTTGATTTATACATTAAACACTAATTGTATTTTAAATTTAAAGCTTCTATGTTTGCTAGAAGTGCCTTAGAGTTTTGATGATCGGTCAGTCAGTCAGTCAGTGAGTGACAAAATTAAGAAACTTTGACTAGTTGTAACTCTTAAACTACTGGTTCAAATTGAATGAAATTTGAAATATGTCGCGGTTTATACAATGCCTGCTTGTTTACTGAATCCAGGCTTCTAGTTTTATTCACAACGAAGTTATAGAGGGGTAGAAAATGGCTTGAATTGCTTCGAGAAAAGGATGGTACGGCCGTGCCGCTTTTTTGCTCGACTTGGTGGGGGCACTACCGTGCACCCAGAATACGCAAAAACTAATAAATCTATTATGAGAAGTTTTGTGCGTGCTTCAAGGTTGACTGCTTAAGAATGCTTAGCATTAAAAGTTCGTCTTTTTACCTGACTGCCAAGAAGTGGTTATGTTTTGTACAACTACCTACCTACCTACTTATTAAACTACATACCTACTATTAACGTAATAATGAAATTTGTAATAATTCTTATGATTTATAAATAATAAATTTAAATAATTATTAATTTGCTTTTTAGTAAGTACAGGATAATTTTTTCTTTATAATATAATAATAGACATAGGAGATATAGAGAACTTCGCAATCGGCGCCCTTGTCTTTCACTCTGATGATGTATGTAATGATACAAGGATAAAAAATAAACCCAAAAAAAGGTTGGCTACCCCGATGATGTCGTCAAAGTTCAATGTACTTTTTTACGCCTGCTCTAGAAACGTACCTACTTCATATCTAGGTATGATAAAGATACACAATATAAGTATAATAAAGGGTCTAAGATCGATGCTTTCTGTGTTCAAGGTGATTTTTTTCATCAATTATAATAAATGAATACTTTAAGATACTAACCAAAGCATCTTCATAGTATGAAAAATGTAAATACATTGAGTGATTATTTCTAAATTAAAATAAAATTTGACAGACTTCTTCGTACTCGCATATTATCATTGGCTACGTGTTTTCGGTTGCCTGATGCCGAAGAAAAAGTCAGGAGCCTGTTTTTAAGCTGGCTAAACGGACACGGCACTTCCGAATCTGTTCTGATAGAACCAGACTTAAGAGACTTTGTTTATTATTACGGTAAGTTAAAACAAATTAACTGAATGCTTTTTAATAAAAATAAAATTACAAATTGTCACAAAGTCCTTCCGATGGTACGTAAATAGAGTTGCCCGTAACCACGTACATTTATCTTCGATTAAGAATTAAGCTCTAGATGCATTCACAAACGAGATTATACAATGCATCGTTACTTGTAAAAACGTTCTCCTAATTTACTATACAAGACACAACAGCGTATCGCTAGTATTTCATAAGAACGTGTTTATTTACCATAAACGAAACATCTGATTAAATTGTTAGTCCTTAATATATGGTATACTCTATTTTATTGACATTGTTTTGAAGTCAATGATAATTTATTATGACATAACAATAAAGATGAAATGTGATGGGTGCTTCTATGGTGATGTTCATTCAAGGCTAGTTCGAGCACAGAAACAATTCGTTGGATGAAAAATGTTGCATGAGCTCTATCTTTTGGAGGTGCGACGTACATTTACCTATAAACAAAATCATTATTTAACAAAGTGACACAAGTGCATGTTAAAATATAGGGTATGCTCCAAAATAGAACCCAGTGTACTGTCCAATGCAAATGACGTCATAAATCGACGCCATACTGGTGATTCGTTCCAAAACATAGGACAGTAAATGACGTCATACATTTGCGCCATATTGGAAAAGTGTTGGCGATTAATTTGTCATGTTGTGCTCCAAAAATCATTATATCCTCCTAATGGAGATACCAGCAATTATTCTATAATTTTTTTATACTTGAATAAATAAAACCAAATTCTGGCATGCTTCATTCAGCGTACACACAATTAAAAATTGTTTTAATATGGTCGGATATCCGACACAATATGGCGGCGGCACGTCAGTACAATATGGCGTCAATTGATGGCGTCGTTTGTATTCGGAAGTACCTATACTGGAAACATTTCGAAACATACCCATAGTTTTACATAAAAATACACATAGATTTTGCCTTTGGTGATTGAACATCGCTGTATGTACGTTGCCAAACCATAATAACGAAATGAAACTTTTTTTTAAAATTTATTACATAACTATGGATATAAAGTCCTTCAGCCAAAATATTAAAAAATCTGCGTTGTTTGTAAGTATTTTATTCACAAAATTCTTCACAATATACCATTGAGCTATTATGTACTACGTACTAGAGGAGACACTGCATTCAGCTACTCTGTTCCACTCAACTGCGGTGCATGCACTGCACTTTAATCAGCCACTCGCTAGGCGCTTGTAGAGTTGTCACGTGTTGTGTTGATTTAAAAAAAATCTCTTGATAAAAATATGCCGTCTTGTGTACTTAGATATTGCACAAATAATTCAAGAAATGTCAGTAAAAACCAAGGAATTACTTTTCATCGGTTAATAAGATACTTATTCAATAAAAAAGTATTATAAATTAATAATAAAGCAAATTATTCCTAAGACGCCATCTCGTATCATTGAATATAGATTATGAAATTAATATGTTCAGATGCGACATTTCTGTGGGTACTTAAGTTTAGGACGAATATATTATTATACTACACATTTTTTTTGTAGAAACATATAAGTTATTATAATTAAGCTAAATTTTTCATGTTTAAATCTGCTTATTATTCTTTTATTTTATTTTTAGGTTTCCACTTCAAAGTCAAAGTGGAATAAATTCGTCCATTTTTAACTCTCGCGTGCCCAGCATTTATGAACGATTATTTACAACATTTATGATTCTAATTTAAATAAATATATTTGTAATTTAAATTTTATGTTAATAAGTTTTGTTAAACATACATTTAGCACGTTTTTTTATATTTGACATAGATACCTTTTAAAATATTCAGATAACAATATCATCAAAATGTAATTCTGACATAATATTATGTAATATTATATTAAATTAGCACATATACAAAATAAAAAACAATTTAAAAAATTGTAAGTACTCGATATAATTAACAATACAATATAAATAAACAATTATTACATACTGACCATTCTACTTACGTATAATCTATAATAACAAAAACTGACCGCGCAAGCGCAAAGCGCGTTTATACCAACTGCGCATGCGTGACTACTATTACCGCGCATGCGCGAAGACATAGAAGTAGCGCACAATTTTTGTTTGGAATAGCTTCTCTAGTACGTAGTACATTATAACTCAATGGAATATACTGATGCGTCACTGCGAAGTTTTTGGAAGTTTTTGACGACAGCTTAACTCGACAAACAGTTGAAAACGATAGCATCTTAAGACGCTGAAGCAGATAAAAAATAATAATTCATAGGCGCAGACGTGTACGTGTATTAAAAACAAAAGCGTGCCACTTTTACGTATCAAATTGCACTTCAAACCGTTATTTAAACGATAATACCGGAGGAGCGATCCCTCTGCGGTCCAGCTCCCGTCAAAACTCTAGCGATACTTGTTAGACGTAGTGTTGCCATGTCAACACCACTATATTTCAGGACAGAGATAAAACAAAAAAAAATTAAAAATGATACATATATTTAAGATAAAGGTAAAATATAAAAAATAATATAGTTTAAAAAAATTTAAAAAAGATTATTTTTGCATAATCACCCTTAATAATATTTATAATTAATTTGTAATCAGGAACTACTCAGGTATTTATTATATTTGGACCATATCATATCCAAAATATTAAAAAAATCTAGTAGTATGAAATCCGTATGAATATGGTAGTGGGAATATTACGCCGGACTTGTACTAGCTAAAGATCACCGTGTTACCACCAGCATAGACGAGAGATCCCGGGATCTCCGCTCGAAATGGGGTTCTGTTTCTCCGTTCTACCGGGACCTTTCCGTTGCTTTGCTTTGCTAGAAGCACGGACCGAGGGCGGTAATTGTCACATCCAGCACCTTCGCAGTGTTATCGTTACGTCTCAAAATTATTTTTGAGTCATTATTCTCTTCAGGGGTTACATCTTGCACCTCTACTTCGAACACCCGCAATCCAAGAAACGAAGTTTCTGGTAGAGGATACTATGTTTAAAGAGAGGGCTGGGACGAACGCTTTTACGATGTCATCTTTGAGTAGAATGTGAATGGAATAAATACTTATGTATTCAATATTTGTCTTCTTGAGATAAAAATAGATCACCTATTAATTAATTAATAATTGGACTATGTGAGAACGCAATAAGGAAAATTTGAAAAAAATAAGAGTAAACATTTCTACAGAGAAAAAACATGTATCAAGACAAATCTCACGCAAATTGAAGTTTTGAGTTATTTTTAACATGAAACAATTTTATATAATTCATTGACATAGATTATGTAACAAAAGGGTTTTATAAACCGACGATATTATTAAAATTAATAGTCGAATTCTAGGATAAAAGTAAAACAATATTGAACTTGAGCACAATAATTGGTAGTGTTCACTATGAAGTAAACATTATATGCTTTGTGATGTTTAGTATGTCCTCAAGTTCCGATCCACTATGAATTTTTCATATTGTATTTTTTGTAAATAAAAATAAAATAATAATTCCCTAACAGGTATGAAATCGGCCACACAATCGGAATGGGATAAGCTCTGGCAAATATATTTGAAAGAAGAGGATGTGCAAGAACAGGCAAAGTTAAGATATGCGTTAGCAGCGCCACGCGACACTGAGATACTCAGAAGGTACGTGAAAAATTACTTACGACACATCACCGTGAATTTGATAATAGTTTAATTAATAGCATAAATAAAAAAATATTTTAAAAATAAAATCGTAATGTTCGGTCTTTTTTTATATAATTTAAACAAGGAATTGGTTTTAAGGAAGTGTTAAAGCAACCGCAGTTTCTTAAGCTCGTTTTGAGTAGATCGGACCGAACAATTAATATTAAAAAACTGAAGGTAGCCGGGCTAACTATGACATTGGGACTTTGAGTATTAAACCAAAGGAGACGGCATCGCAAGGCACCCTCTGTAAAAGGTACGAGAGTCCGACTCATACTCGTTATATAAAACTAGTTGCTCCGCGTCGTGCGTCATTCCGAAATGATCGTGCCAGTAAATCGAGCTCCGACAAAATGCCGAATTGCAGTGTATTTACATGAAAAAAAAAAAAAACAAAAACGTCAAGTATACAAAAGAACAATGTGACTTTTCATCTGTGAGTATTTTTAACATAATATTAAAGCAATTTTATCATTAAAACTCGTACTTTGTGAATATTTCGTACATTACCAAGTGTGGCCATCATAGTTCATAAAGTGAAAAATAATCCATTTTTAAATAAATATAATTTAGTACACAAGTTAAATATGTTAACGAAAATATATTTACTAATAACTAAATCAGCTTGTGATGAATAATAATCACTACATATAGATGTGTAGTGGATTTTGTTAAATGATTTATATATTCAGCATAATTTCAACACGATACTGAATATTATATAATTTAATATAATCGATAACTAGTATTTATCAAAATATTATACAAAATAAAGGCCAAATAAGTCAAATCGAAACTTGCTACTTCGCAGCAAAAGTGTGCAATTTTTATAAAAATAAACTGGTATCACTGCAACCAAAAGTATTGAACTATAGTGATGAACGCCACAACTTTAGTTATCGATAAGTTAATTAACCATACGGGTTTATCTGCCGAACCGGTTTGTAGTTTTTATTTAACTTTTACAATAAAGTATTACAAAAAGTAGTAAATTTTTCTATTATTGGTTTGTTTTTACAGATTTCCAAAAGATCCTTTTAGGCGACAAACTTGGATTGTAGCTTGTAGAAACCATGAATCTTGGATACCTAAACGGACTAGCACCATTTGCTCCAAACATTTTGAAAAATCATATTTCATACCCCAAGCTTACAATAAAAGAAGGTTAGCTGACACTGCAGTACCAACCATGAACTTGTGGGAGGTAATGTTTGGCTGTAATTAGATTTAGATAAAATATTTTTATTATTACCCTTGACACCAATATTATTCTACTTGAAAATATTTTATTAAGTTTACAAAAGCATTAATCTATCAAATGTAATTCATATACTTATATATATATCTTGAATCTTCTGACTTACGTAAGTAAATTATTTATTTCAGGGTGATTGTGGTGATTGCACAATATCGTCTACATCGAAAAAAAAAGTTCGATGTTCCGGAAAAATTCCATTAGTTGTCTCGAAAGTCACGATTCGAAAAAACTCTCACTGCGAGTACGAGCCATCACTTAGGCCAAGGAAAATTAAACTGAAAAAATGCCTTGACATAAAAAACAATAGCATAAACAGGTTTCACAAGTTTGCAAGAAATACTTTGCCCTAACATTTAACTATTACTCACCAAAAGCCTATCGCTATGTACGTAAAACTTTTGGAACATGTTTGCCTGCACCACGGACATTGACTAAGTGATACACTACCGTCGATCGCCGACCAGGGTTTACTCAAGAAGCGCTGACGGCATTAAAATAAGAGCGGAGAGTAACCCTGATAAAAAAAATTATTGTACCTTTGTCATGGATGAAATGGAAATTAAGCAATTGACGGAATACCATGTTAGCAGCCAAAGGCATTATGTATATAACCAAAATGTCTTTTAGAACTTGCATAGTACTCCGTCCATTGTTTTATTTTCATTTCATCTATCACTAATATACAATACAATTTCTTGTCAGGGTTACTCTCTAATCTAAGTTTTAAAACAGTTAACGCTTTTTTGTGTAGCCAAGTCGGCCATCAATTGTACATTAGTTCAGCAAAACATCTTTCTGAGGAATACTTAGCCTTAAGTAGATGTCACATTTTATTTTTAAGCAGCTGTCTGTTTAAAGTTCGCTTTGTTCAACTGTGATATAGTGTAAAACTTTTTTATTTTCCTAATTTAATAAATATTTTCCAGATAGTTCATTTAATTACTCTTCAAAATCAACAACTTTTTATAAATAGCGGTTTTGTGATTGAAGCCTTATAATAAAAACAAAAACTTGATTAACACCATCTCAGATGATAAACTAATAGGATTTTTCTTTTCATAAATCTGATTTTTAAAATAAGTTAACTAAACCTCTTATTTCGATTTGTTAAACATTTTAAATTTTATCCTGCATAATGTAAAATAAACCTGTAGCAAAATAATAAACTTTCTTTCAATAATTTATAAGCTTTTTTCCGAAGATCATTTTTAAATACTTTAAAAAACGAATTTCAAATAACACCCTGGTATTATTTATCTATGTATTACTTATAATCAAATAAAACTTATGCGACTATGGTGATTTGTTTATCGATAAAAAATATCGATAAAGTCCACGCCTTACGTGGCTTACGCATTCAGCCAGCGCTATCAGTGTATCGAAACGTGTACAATTTGATAGTATGCGTAAACGCGATGAACACAAACACAAATGTTGTAGTGTGCGTTTATAGTGACACGATTTAATTTTGCATTTGTTGTTAAGTATACAGTTGTGTGTTTTTCTTGCGCCCCCCTGATGTTGACAGAATTTTTCTTTAGGAATTAACGCGCATGGCCTCTCCAGTTGGTTGAATACTCCAAGCATTGGGACGTCAAACATCTCAGTCCCCCCCGTGACCATGGGTGTTGAAGTACCCGAAACGTCGGTAATTAAATCGGCAATAAAATCCGTAAATTTAGTTTTATTCAAACCGCAGTTTAATTTTCAAATGTTAATCTCCATCACAGCCTTTAAAAGTCCACTGCTGAACATAGGCCTGCCCCATAGATTGCCTCATAATAGGGTTTTCGCTTAGGAGGCAGTCTATGGAGTAAGGGGGTTTGTGCTATAGTTGCTTCGCCCAAGCGAACGCTTTGCCAACAGGCGGGTTGGCAATCATACCATCATCTATATCCACCGCATTATCATTACCACCACCATCACCACCTTCACCATCATCATCATTATTAAAGCTCTTCACAAGTCCATTGCTAAACAAGCAATGAAGAAATGCCACAAAGCACAGTCCTGAGCCACGTGCATCAATCGCGTCTATGTCTTGCCAGGTATCCTGTCCTATACCTTGGATTTGTACTCAATGGTAACAGATGGATTCTCAGTGATTGTAATTATGTAATTAGTAGGTATTTTTACTCTATCGTGGAGGCGTTTTACCTACGTTAATTGCATATGGGCAAATATCCAGACCCGGAACAGCTGTATATTTGACACTTTAATCAATTGAAATACTTTTAAAGATCTTATAAAACAAACATCTATATAAATTCTATTCTATGGAAATTGTAGGTAAATAAAGTCAGAGTGAACAACAGTATGGCAACTTCATACAAACATCTCGCAACGCACGCACGCAAGTGCGGGTTTCAATTAGGTATCTTGATATATTATGTGCTTACATGCAATAGTACATTTAAGCATATAATATAGTACGCACGCAATTTGGGTTTCAATTAGGTATCTTGACATATATTATGTGCTTACATGCACTAGTACATTTAAGCATATAATATAGTACGCACGCAATTTGGGTTTCAATTAGGTATCTTGACATATATTATGTGCTTACATGCACTAGTACATTTAAGCATATAATATAGTACGCACGCAAGCGTGGGTTTCAATTAGGTATCTTGACATATATTATGTGCTTACATGCACTAGTACAATTAAGCACATAATATATCAAGATACGATAAGCAATTTATGAGCTTACTCACACGTTCGTTTATCTCCAACCGTTGAATACAAGAGTTTGCCTTTCTCCTGTAATTTATGTTTGAGAAAGCAAAGCTTTCATGATAAGAAAATCAATTATTTTTTCTCAATTATTTTAACTCCATTTAGTTGGAGCTGCTCTACACTTCGCTAACCGCATATCTTCCTAACATATTTAATTTGATTCATGAGTCATGACTGTTATTTTATCCCTACAGGTATCTTACACTAGCGTGGGACGAAAACAATATCCGCAGTCAGGATTATCTAAATGTAGTTCAATACATAAGCTGTAACCCTTCGGGCACGTCACTAGTGTGGGACGACGTGCGCTCGAGATGGCCTCAGTTAGTAGAGCGGTTCACTCTCAATAGTCGATACTTGGGCAGCTTGGTGCCGGGCATCACTAGTTCGTTTGACACGCCGCTCAAGTTACAGGAGGTATGTATGGGTTTTATAGCTTCATTATAATTTTTCGAAAACGCTATAAGAAACGCTGAGTTTAAAAGTGATTAAACAAACGACCTATGTCATGTGCGAGTACTAAGAACTTTTGTTAAGAAAACTAACGATATAAAACGACGTATTTTTAACACTTGTTTTGTGTGTTATATAATGAAAGTGAAGGAAATACTTAGAAAATGCAAAAGGCAATACGGTAGTACCTTATCAATCGGCACAGGAACCAGGCAAACAGTTAACTGCACTTCACCAGCACTTTATAATTCGGTGCGAGATCACAGGTGTATTCACAGATATAACGCTTCGTACATTCGACCACGGTGCTCAAAATTTTATTCGTCTAACCGTCATTATACGTGAGGAATAGGATTGAAAAGGAGAAGGCTTTGGGGGGAAGAAGTATACGAGTGTCCTTATGCAAAATATAGTAAAGGGCTTATTTTTTACTGTAAAACATCGATATCTCATTTTTATATTTTTTTAACTCCTTTACACGAAACCACATGCTACGTGCTCACGATAGCAATAGTAACATCAAACTTATTCATAAAACCAACTGAAAATATTTTTAATAAATATTAAGTATGTATTATTTAAATGGCAAATTATACGAGCAACCCGGGATCGAGCCCCGGTGGCACCAATGAAATCGTTAATAGTAATTGCTGATTTACTATGTGCTCGGCGGTGAAGAAAAACATTTAGAAGGCATGTGAAGTTCGTCAACACGCAGTGGGGCACCGCGGAGGACATTTCCTTGCCCTAAAACACTCTCAGAAGTGAGAGGAGGCCTGTGCGCAGCAGTACATCCCTATAACTTTAACTTGTTTTTATTTTATGGTGTGAAGTTATTTTGTTACTATTTTTCTTAAAAATGAAATAAAATTATATCCTTGAAATGGCGACATTCTCTTTACAATTGTTGAATTTGTTACACCCAATCTTTTTTTTTAATTTTTCTAAAAAAAAAAGTTACCTCCACACTAGGATTTTCTCCTGTATCGCGGGGGGCAGTTTACAAACATAAATTGCACAAGGACAAACATCCAGACCCGGAACAATTATTTGTGGGCCATACAAATACTTGCTCCGTGCGGGATTCGAACCCGCGGCCCTTAGCGCTGTAACTTATCGCTAACCACTGCGCCACGGAGCCGTCTAAATCTTACATCTTCGTAGTACACTCAATCTTATTATTTCCCTGCGCGCATGCTACATGATTTCATAGCCAAGTCTGTTGAGAACATAGGCCTACTCCCATAGATTGCCTCATACGGGGGTTTGTGCTATTGTGGCTTCGCTTGGGAGGCGGGTTGGCAACCATACCATCCATACGGTCCATACCATCCACAGAGTGTAAAGAACCGAAGATCGTTTTATTGGTGACGAGGCATTTCACCTTTATATTGACGTCCGTTTGACGCCTATACTTGAGAGTAAGATAGTAACATGTTTGCATTCGTACAAAAAAAATGTTTTATGATTTAATTTATTCAGGTGTGAGTTTATTTATTTTGTCTCAGTAGTTCAACTTTTAAATGAAAATATATTCAGTTAAACAACTGCGAATCTAATCAATGTAATGAGTTGTACTAGTGGAAACTAACAAATATGCTTTTATTTTAGATGGAAACCTGGTTCGCACAATACCCTGAAGCAGGAGCAGGTGAATCTGCCCGGAAACGAGCACTAGAAACGGTACATAATAATATTCGATGGTCCAGCACCCAAAAACCAGCTGTCGTCGATTGGCTGAAATCGCATCTTAACTAAAGCTAAAGATGTAAACAGTGATAATATGATTTATTTTTATGACAAATATAACATTTGTTTAAATTATCAGTATTTATTTGTTTTTGTTTCTTAAAAATATGACAAAACATTAGATTTGCTTTTATATATATGTATATATATATATATATATATATATATATATATATATATATATATATATATATATATATATATATAAACCCTATACTAAGACTAAGCAACATTAAAAAGAGACAAACATAATCATCTATAGGATTTGGTCTGCGAGAAAATGAGATAGAATACAGTATAGACAGCGAACTCAAAAAGTTGTGGGTTTGAATCCGCTATTCGACTACAGTCTTTATTGGTCTCTTTTAAAATAAAATACGATTGCTAGTATTTTTTAAATACAGTGTTTCTTATTATCTCGGTGTCCCCTTTATGGGGTGCTTTAAAGATGGTGAATATAAATTTCAACTGTTAAGATAAAATTAGACGTACTGAATAAAATTACCTTAAAATTCCAATCCATTTATAACAGTCCACGATTTTATACAGGCCATCTAGCGTCTAATTTACGTACCACCTTTGATAAAGTGACTTTACGTTTAATAAAACCGGCCAAGAGCGTGTCGGGCCACGCTCAGTGTAGTTTTCCGTCCGTCACAATAAGTGTTCCCACTTATGAGTTTAAAGGTAAAATGTTCGCGCTCCAGCAGCGCTCCGCGCTCCAGCAGCGCTCCGCGCTCCAGCAGCGCTCCGCGCTCCTGCAACTGCTCCCGGTAGTGGGTACTGTTGTTTCCATCCAAGTTCAAAATGATTTTCCTAGAAAGTCCTTATAAGGTTCTACTTTTAAATTTTTTCATATTTTCTAAACTTATGGTTCAAAAGTTAGAGGGGGGGGGGGCACATTGTTGTTTACTTTTGGAGCGATTATTTCCGAAATTATTGACATTATCAAAAATTATTTTAGTAAACCCCTATTCATTTTAAATATCTTTCCAACAATATATCACACGTTAGGGTTGAAATAAAAAAAAAATCACTTCCCACTTTACATATAAGGGGGGCTACCCTAATAAAACATTTTTTTCCAATTTTTATTTTACCACTTTGTCGGCGTGATTGATACACATATTGGTATCGAATTTCAGCTTTCTAGTGCTAACGGTCACAGAGATTAAGCGAGAACGGACAGACGGACAAACAGACATGGCGAAACTATAAGGGTTCCTAGTTCACTACGGAACCCTAAAAATTAGTGGCGCTATTTTAAAGCAATTTTACTCGAAAGAAAATATTCTTTTGATTTATTACAATAAAATTTAGTCTAAAAATAAGAACAGTAACATTTATCTTCTAACATATAAATATTAATATTGGTTTGTTCGTATTTTGTGCGCTGCCATAGCGTTCATCAGATTGCTCTAACTGTCAGCTTAATGTTTGCTTGCGCGAAGGTTATAGGCATAGTACAATTATTTTACAATAGGTGTCATGCGTATCGTTCCATCTTCCAGAAAATATACAAAATCTGTCATACACAAAGTTCAAAAATTTTATTAAACTAAGTTTGTATAAAAAGGGTTATTATAATATTAAGTAATTTATAGATGAAAATAACCCCTGGGAAGGGTGATCGCTACCAAGCTATTTCTAATTTGTCTTTGTAAACATGATTGTAAGCTATTATTGAAAAAAAAATAGTCCCGCTGGATTTCTTGCTGGTTCATATCAGGACAGAGGTTTTTTTGCGAACCAGTGGTAAATGAAAAAAGTGACTTTCAATAAGTATTGTTTATAATCTACATTGAATAAAAAAGTTTCTGTTTCTTTATTTGAAAGTATATCATTCAACTTCAACGAATGTATTATTATTCCTAATTAAAATATACAGGTGTACCAAAAATCAACGTCAATTCGGAAATGGGCAATAGGCCAATTAGCAAGTGTCATACTATTTTAGAATCCAAACTAAACGCGCCATCTTATAAAGTTACTTGCCAAAATAGTGTAGTACATTTTTTTACACATCACATTAGGTGATAAGATTTGGATGAATACAATGTTGGGCAAACAACTAATATTTCATATAAAACTGAGGCAGTTAATAACTGTTAACAGTATTTTACTGAAGGTTATTCATGGTTATATCACAGAAAAAAACTGAAGAATTTTTTTTTTAAATTTAGACTTGAAAGCACATCACAGGGCTTCATCATAAAACATGAATAAATATAGTAGGTATATTGCCATGATTTAATTTTTGAAAGATCACAACGAAAATCTTTTCCTATCAAATTCATAGTGATGCACACTTTAAATCATGGTGAAATTGTAAAACAATTTACAATGGGTGCGTTTGGCAGAAAAAAAGCGCTAGCAAGCGCTTGTAAGCAAAATGGCGATCGTAAGCGGTAAGCGCTGTCAAATCGTAAGTAGCTAATTTCCTCTAGGACACGATGTTAGTTTTAACCGGGAAACCTAACCTAATTTAAATATATGTTTGTGAAGTATTCATATTAAAAACTTACCAATCATGAATTTTTAATAACATGTCATATGTCTATTCATGTCATTATATTACTTAAAACTAATATTGCAAAAAAACATCTTATGAACTCTACTTCAAAACAAACAAATTAAATAAGCAAAATGGCGGATTGTGTCAGCGCTACTGAAGTAGCAATCGTCTCCTGGCCGAAAACTATTTTGGCGCTAGTAAGCGCTTGCTAGCGCTTTTTTCTGCCAAACGCACCCAATGTTGCGAGTTCGTATCCCGCACTGGGCTACCGACGAGAAACAACTTTTATTTACACTGGCTACTATGTTCGGAGCAAAAATATCGAATGAACGACGGGGAAAAGTTACAGCTCGAAGTAACTGGTTCTACGGTCGCCAGTCGACCAGCTGAGCGTGAATACACCAAATCTTCTAAACAGGTCAGTTACGGTCAAAGTTGGGTCACATGAGTAGTAGAATTCCGTTTATCTACTCATGTGTTTGGGTGATGTAGTTATTTTGAATTCAATGTTGGGCAAATAACTAACATTTTATTTAAAACTGAGGTAGTTATGTTTTAACTGTTAGCTGTATTTTACTGAAGGGTTATTCATGGCTACATCACAGAAAAAAAATGACAAAAAGTTAATATTTGTAGTCACACGACTTGAAAGATCACAGGTTGTCAGTCTTTGAGATTTAATTTTCAATATATATAATTTAAAAAGTACATGGCCAAGGTATTTTTTATATTTTTCTAAAAACTGTCACAACTTGGCCTATTGGCCGTTTTCGGCTCGACATTGATTTCTGGCACACGTGATATAGCTCTTACAAATTTAAAATAATATTACCACGATTATATCCTTTGCAGCAGCAACGCGCCAGCCATCAGTTAGTTTGATATGAAATTAAACTTTTGACTTATATTAGCGACCCCGTCTTTGCGCGCGTGATACCTGGCTTCTACAACAGCGTCACCTACCGAGTCATGGTATGCCTATAACATTCGTGGAAGCAATATGTTGACAAATTTTTACTGTAATTTCATCAACGGTATGACAGCGCATACATTACGAACAAACAAATATAATTTTTTATATATTTAATTTTATGTCCCGCTTGTGGATAAACAATTTTGCCGTGAAATATATTTATTTTATGTCTCATTTCATTTGAAGGTTTCATTCGCATTTCTACCGCGTGTGAACCGCACACATGTGTTTTTTAATCATGTGTGGTTAACAAAAGTCATTGTAAAGGCAAGGAACGTAATCGGGCTAAGTTCCAATGCCAGCACCTCTTTGAGTTTGCCGTGTAGAAGCTGAAGAAAAAAAGGCACAGAAGAACATAGTAATAATATGTTTACGTATAAACATTCACGCTTGTCACCCAGGAGATGCTTTTGTATTTATGTCGTATTTACTATATGTGATGCTCCGAGGAATTGTTGTATCAATTAAATTTTATCTACGTTATCTTATCTTTATAGTTGGCATCGATCGCATCGTGCATTTTTTATTTTCTATGAAGCACGGTCATAAGAGCCGTGGTAGCTCAGATGGTTAACGTTCGCTGTAAATATAATAGAACGCGAGTAACCCGGGTTCGATCCCCGCCAGCACCAATGAAATTGTTAATTGCAATTTTAAGTGCTGATTTACCACGTGCTTGGCGGTGAAGGAAAACATCGTGAGTAAACCCATATTTCGGAGGAATAAGAAAAATATTTCGAAGACATGTGAAGTTCGCCAGCACGCATTGGGGCAGCGCGGCGGACACTTCCTTGCCCTAAAACCCTCTCAGAAATGAGGGGAGGCCTGTGCCCAGCAGTGGGACGTATATAGGCTGTAAATTTACTTTACTTTACTTTACGGCCATATTGAGATATTTATAATTGCCCGTTTTTTTTAGAATCCTATGGTACTATGGTAGAGGTCCACACCCAGCTGTAGAATGTTACGGGTAGATCAATAATAAGAGAAGAATTAATAAATATCAAAAAGTATTAAAACAACCTCCTATTCAACCTCCTTAACGACATTTATTACTTGTATACATTAATTTTATTAAAATAAAGTAATAGATATTTATAGATGATATACAGTGATGAATTTACAATATGACACAATAGGCATTGGCCTAGGGCATTACCTCAAAAAAAAACTATGTTTTATATTATGGAAAGAAATGCATTCCCAGTTGAAAAGTCCCAATGAAAATTAATTTCTTGCAATAGCCAATTTGTTATAACAAAAGCAATAAATGCGTTCATAATTGATTTATTGTGAAATGTACTTAATTCAAATGCAAAAAATAATAACGTGATGACTGTTTAGAAATTTTAGTGACCCATAAATTTTTGTGTTTATGGGTCAAGTAAAGTGTTTTTTTCTTATATTCCATATTGCATTATTTTCATTTAAAGCTATGAAAAGTAATAGTTAAAGGAAATAATACCTCAGATTTTGTATAGGTTGGTTAAAATATAATTTATAAAATCAAAATATAGGTACGGATTTTGCTATTAGAAAGTCAAGGAAACAATATTTCAGCCACTAAAACCTTAAAAGTTAAAACTATTTTAATTCAAATAAAAAAAAAACCATATAAAATGAAAATACCAAGGCATTGTTTGTTATAAAAACCTAGGGTATCACAAAGATTAATCTGGCGCTGATGATATGTGTTGATTATTACCAGAGAACTGCGTATGAATTTCTATGGCTGATTCTTAACCGGATTTTTGTCGTAGTACTGCGTAAAAGCTGTAAGCTGTGCGGACGATCTGTAAAAGAGAATATAATAGGGAGACAATAATGTCTGTCTACAATATATTGATTTAAAAGTTATTTAATATTTTCTATATGAGGATAATTATTAATAGCAATATAACAAAACTGTAAATTATTATTTGAACTTTCTCAGCTTCCTGAATATATCATATCATCAACATAATAGCAACAAATAGCTAAAAAAGTTACGATTCACGTTGTACCATAAGCGGGCCACATTTTTTGATAATTACAAGTGTCGATTTAATGACTCAAGTTCGTTATGCTTTTAGATTATTGAGAACAGTAAATATTAGAGGAACTATTTAATAGGTCGAGAAACATGTTTCTTCGTATTTTGTTTGTACAAAATTGAAGAAAAGTGTCTTTGGTTGTACTGTTTGTATCTTGCTGGTGTTAATATCAATACATACCTATAGAATATTAAGAAAAAGAAAAGTAAAAAGTAAAAAAACACTTTCCTGCCATTTTCAACTGTTTTTCTGTCCGTCAAAATGAGTGAATCTAACGAAGAAATTCTACAAATTCTAAACGTTTATTACAAAATAGGAAAAAATGCGATTCAAATCACGACAAAAATTTACGTCGTTTATGTACCTAATTCAGTGTCGGTAAGAGTAGCACAAAGTTGGTTCAAGAGTTTTCAGTCCGGGAATTTTGATGTCAACGATGCAACTCGGCTATGATGCTAATGATGAATAAATGATGATGCAACTCGCTCTGATCTGGCCCTTATACGGATAAAGTTGATGCCATTTTAGAAAATGTGGAGCAAGATCAGTCTATTAGTAGTTACGACACAGCCGAGGAATTGAGGTTTGACCACAAAACGAAAGAAACCTAATGAATCGTGTAGCTACTCATTTGCGAATCTCTCAATAGAGTTTCAATAAACGAAATGAAACGGAACCATTTTTAAAAAGATTTTACCATTACGACAAGAACGTGTGAAAAAGATCATGGTCAAAGGGTAGTCAAGCTCCACAAAGTGTAGTTTTTTTTTATTTTTTTTTATAGGATAGGGTGACAAACGAGCACACAGTCCACCTGATGGTAAGTGGTTGCTGCGGCCCATAGACATCTACATCTATCTTCCATTACAAATCAAAATGCAGATGCGTTGTCACCCGTGAGGACTGAGATGGAATGCCTCATTTCCAGTAAAAAGGGTCTCCGGTTCTCTACACTCACCATACGAAATACAGCAGCATTAAGCTACTATTTCACGCTGGTATTCTGTGAGAGCGTGGTCCTTCCCCGGTCGAGCCGACCCATTCGTACTACAACTATACTACTAATATAATTGCAGCATGGCTCTACCACGTAAAAAATCAGGATTAACAAGCAATAAGGTGATGCTGTGTGTATGGTGGGATTTCAAGGGCATCGTTTATTATGAGCTATTACCACCAGGCAAAACCATCGATTCGGATCTCTATTGCCAACAACTAATGAGACTCAAGCAAAAAATTGAGAAAAAACGGCCGGAATTCATCAACAGAAAAGGAGTGGTATTTCATCATGATGACGCCAGACCACACACATCTTTGGCCACTCAGCACAAATTGAGAGCTTGGTTGGGAAGTGTAAATGCATCCACCATATAGTCCTGACCTTGACCATTAGATTTTCACCTGTTTCGGTCTTTTCGGAATTCTATGGGTAGTGTTAGGTTAACATCAAGGACTGTTAAAACTACTTGTCGTATTTTGTTTGATCAAAAATCCCAAGATTTCTACAGCGAAGCGATTATGTCTCTACCTACGAGATGGCAACAGGTTACAAACAAAATTGCACACATACATATATTATCATTAAATGTAGTTAAAATTAAAAAAAAATGCCTTGATTTTCTTTGTAAAATACATAGAAACTTTTCCTTCGACCGTATTCTATATTATTATACTTTTTTTCAAAGCATTATGCGAATCGGCATTTAAAACACTAATCAAAATTCGATGCAAAATAGATCAGATTTAGACACACTACTATATGTACGAACATTTGATTATATACAAAGGTACGGACGTACACACATAAAGTGTAGTGTAGCCCCCACGACAATGTATAACTCTATTAGTGTTAAGGTAGAATGAGAGAGTAGTCTAAATTAAGTTCTAGTACTAACAATACGTCTTCTCTCTTAACACCATTCCAACATTACACAAACACGGATCTAATATATTCTATGCATAATGGAGATCATAATATATGAGACTTAAATTGAATGAAAACGTGAAGTGATAGACGAAATCATAGATCATCTAATCGTAAGTGGCTACTGCGGTTTATGGCATCTGCAGCCATCTTAAAACAATAAGGAATGATATAGAAGCGTTTTCATTTCTGAGAACTAAAATGGAATGGCTTATAGCTTGAATTTGTACTGACTATGACTTGCAGACCGAAACAGAATCACAGCAGTGCGATCACTGCTATTTGGCGAATGAAACAGATGCTTAATTGCTGTATTTATCCAGGACTTGTAAGCAAAAAAGGAGTGAATAGGCACATTTGAACAATTTAAAAAATAATTGAGTTAAGGAACATTACGTTTATTTTTTACTATTACTTAATGATTAAATTAAAAGTTCGTACCTGAATAAAAGAAGGCAAATTAAGCGAGAAAAAAGGCCCAGCGTAGAGCTCATAGCTACGTGACATTCCTATTCCCAATAGTAGCAGTTCTTTTCGGACTCGAGGACTGAGACACCACCACGCCGAGCCTTGTGGGCTCCTACCCATACCGACTGCGCTCTGAAAGCAAGATTTTCAAATATCGAGTAATTTTGTTTTTGATTAGACTTTTGGATTTATTCAGTCCAATAACAATACAGCAATATTTCGGAATTTTCTTATAACATGCAGATTAGAGCATGCAGATAGAGACAACTGATTACGACCGTACATCCGCGACACTCGATCGACGTAGTGCGTTGACACGATCAGTCTGCTCGGCCCAGTGGCCTCGGATACTCACTTGGACGCAACTCTTATTGTGGCAACCCATAATCCGATTTCACTCGGACGGCGGTATCCGATCTGTGTAAACCTGGATCGCGTCCTGCTGTTCCGAGCTACGAGTGGCTCGTATACTTACGCCTTGTGAGAAAATTCAAGTGGCAGCTAATAACAACAACCAAACGTCACGTGCGAAAAATTCTTCAAATTGTCGTCAATAATTCTCAAAAATGTCCAAATCCTTCTCCTTTTGTGAAATGCCTTATCTTTACTTCGTCGTAGCTCTTCTATTAACAAGTCTGCGACAATTCCGACACTATTTCGGACGATGTAAATAATTATAAGTGAAGAAAATGAACCGTGTGAACTATGTCAATATTAACAGATATCCTAATACACTCGTATGAAACCTACTCTTACGAGTCCACTCGGTCCGGGCATGCTCTGATCGTGTGAACGCGGCTTTATATTTGTATGCATGCAGTTTATCAGTGTCATTGCTATGACCGCGATCAATTAACTGGTTGTTAACGGAAGCACGGGATGGGGCTTCATAATAAAACATGAATGAATATGATAGGTATTTGCCATGACTTAGTTTTTGAAAGATCACAAAGAAAATCTTTTCGCATGTTTATAGTGATGTACACTTTATATCATCGTGAAATTGTAAAAACATTTTACAAAGCCGGGAGTTCGAATCCCGCACTGCGCTACCGACGAGAAACGACTCTTTTTCACACAGGCTACTATTTTGGGAGCAAAAATGTCCGATTAGACGACGGGGAAAAGTTACAGCTCGAAGTAACTGGTTCTATGATCCTCAATCAACTAGCTGAGCGTAAATGTACCAAATCTTTCAAACAGGTCAGGTAGAATCTAATGGTAAGTGGATGATGCGGCCCGTAGATATCTATATTTATCCTCCATTAAGAATGAAAATACAGATGTGTTATTATCCCTGAGAACTAAGATGGAATGCCTCGTTGCCAGTAAAAAGGGTCTTCGGTTTCCTACACTCGCCATACGTAACACAGCAGCATTAAGCTGCTATTTTACGCTATTCTGAATTAATTTTTTTTAATGTGGAACGAAACCCCGAACCGTACTTTTTATTTGTAAGTAGGCATTCTATCTCAGTCCCCAGAAGTGATAATGTTTCTTCGTTTAGATTCTTTATCGAGGATAGACGTAGTATATCATGTAAACTATGAGCTGATTAGTCTTGATTTTTGAAAAAAATCTAAAAAAAATTAAAATGGTAAATAATTTATAGTAAAATAACAACCTCATTTAGAACAGCGTCACCGTAGTTGCAGAAAAGAAATAACTGTGTAAGTGTTCCCATCATGTACTGAAGAAGAGACATGAGTTGCGTAGTGCTTAAATCCTGAAAACAATATAGTATATATAATATAGTAGTATAATATACTAGTTAATTAATATTGAAACAATCGTTCAAGTACTTATTACTTTTTTTAGGCCAGTGCTTAACCACAATACCACCACCACTGGTGGTAAGTGGTGATGCAGCCTTAGATGGTAAATCGCACTATATAACCCCTGTACGCATTAAAAATGTCGAAGTAAACCGTTTGGTTCTAATACGTGGAATATCGGCAGCAAAGGGGTAAAGACTCGCTGACCGCCTGGTCGTCCGATGGTGGAAAGGAGAGGGAGGAATTCAAGCGTACAATTCCTGCGCACACTCTCCGAAATGCTTCCTATAAAATACAGAGAGGCTGGCTACTCTGCGCCTGTGCTCGAGGCTGACAAGGTTGGTTTCGACCAAATCAAGGACACCAATGAGTCTTTTAGCATGTCTCTGCACTGAGTCCAAGCACCAGCCCATATGTAACAGCAGTACTCTATGCATGACCGGACTTGCGCTTTATATAAGGTAAGGAGCTGTCCCGGCGTAAAGTACCGCCACACCCTTGTAAGAACACCAAATTTACTTGAGGCTGCTTTGACTCTGGACTCAATGAACCGCCCATATTTGAGGTTCGGAGAAAATTCAATCCCTAACAACTGAAGGCGGTCAGCGGCCAGGGTGAGCGGGTTCCTTTTAGCGGTGAAAAGACACGTTTGTGTTTTGGAGGCATTGAATCTCACGAGATTGGCATCGACCAATTCGGAGACGGCCTGTAGTATGAGATTCACACGCTACTTTAGGTGCCAATGTGATAACGTTTGAACAAACCGAAAAACAATAATAATCAAGTTTGCCCGTCAGATTAGAAACAGATAGGAAAAGTTTAGGTAATAATGCAACATTTTCGTAAAGGTACATCTGATATATGTATTTCTGAGGATAATGGAGCAGTCAGCTCGCCGCACTCCAGTGCGCGTTGGCGGACTTCTTCCTTCTTTCTCATTTAAAAAAAATAAGGCGGGAGTTGATTTTCATCCCCAAATTAAAAACAGGCACTCGGTGACATCTTCACCAGCTATTCTCTCACTATACTACTGTTGTGGTGTAACTTCATTCGCCACTTCTGCTAACTAACATTTTTAGAACATATATCCAACCCATGACACGCTTAGTAGGTAGGTTTTTGAGCGCAGAGGTGATACTTTTGCCCTAACATTCCTACTCACTTTCATCAGACTGGTGGGTTTGAGCTTAGAAAATTTAAATAGGCTTTTTGCTATCAAGTCGGTTGCCAGTAGAGCTTGTCAGTCAGACAGTAATAAGCAGCATGATGCACGGCGTTGGGCTAGTATTTGAGGAGATAAATATATTGAAAATGAATACTGACTTCACAAGACTAAAAGGAATCAAAAAAATTCTGTATAATTAAACATATTCTGAATTCCGTGTTAAAACGAAGAATTATAACATCGTTGAGGTTAAACCCATTATAAAAAAAAGCTTGTACAAGAATCATTAATATCGATTCTTTGAAGTCGGCTGAGAAGTTTACATATTGTTCGCTCCAAGTATTATCTTAACAATATGTGATTGTTTTTCTTTAGTCCTTCCCAAACTATCAGCTCACTGCCGGATATGGTCCGCTATATCCCTAATTATTTAGAAAAGTGCAAATTGAACTTACCGATTGAAGCTGCACCGCAACTGAACACAACGTTATCGTTGCAAGGTAAAAGTAAATTCCCAGTATATTTTTTGTAAGTTTGTTCAATTGCTTCACCAAACTGAAAAATAAGGCATTTTAAATAATGTAATATTTTTGTATGACGCCGATTTCAAACGTGACCAAAACTTATGAAAATTATATAAGTTTTGAATTGCTGTACCGATGACACGAAGCGATATTACTCCGGGGATTTGAATTCAATACGGTTATTATTATTAAAAAAATAAAGAAACAATTATATTTGATGCTATAAAATCTTTGCATTATAATTAGATATATTTTAAAACATAATTAACACAACAACATAATCAAACGCTGATACGTATTACGTTGTAGTGGGATAACCACAGCGATGATATCCTGCCGGTTTTCTTACTCAAAACTTACAAGCAGTCGCTAAACTTAAGTACCATCAATTAAACAAAAAATAAAATAAAAATCAAACTGATGAAAGTTTCTCTTACATCTTAAAATGTTCTTCTTTCTCAGTCCTTAAAGTTCAAGGCTGCTTTATCCAGCTGTGAATTACACGTTATTGCTGGCCCATGCCCCTTCTGTTTTAAAAAGAATTTGTCGAGACCGCTACTTTCACTAGGACTAACGTTCGGAGACCTATCCATCCGTTTTGCAAATTTTTCGCTGCTTTCCGTCAAAGGTCCGGGCCTACATCTGTTATGTTGGAGGTATACTATCTGGATGCCACAAAATCTTTTTTCCCTTAGCCGTAGTCGTTTCTTAACCTCTTAGCTATCAAGCGGCTGAATTCAGTCGCGGCGATATTCTGTCAAATACCAAGTGACCGAATTCGGCCGCACCCACCCACATCATTTTAACCCATAAATACTTATGGTTAGAGACTACTTTTCCATGAAGAAGTTTGGCATTGTAGGCTCAATATGAAATTTTCTATCCTCTATTGCAATAAAAAGTCAGTTACTCAATGGTTCATTACGTACGCCATATTCGTGTGGATGTTATCGTATTTTGTTGTGTTGATTTTTGGATTTTTCTAGTATTTTATTAGTGTTTTAGTATAGTGTTTTATTATAAAATTGGTATGAAAGTTTTTGTGTGAATATAATTTATCTTTTTACGTAAATAATTTCGAGTAATATATAGAAATAGTAATGATTTTCACGCTGTCGACATCCGCTTGGTATGTACCCGTTTTTTGTTATCAAAATACAATAAAGTCTCTTTGTAATGAGAGTTTTGTATAGATTTTACAATGGCAAACTTTTTTTATAGAAAAGTAGTCTCTAAATATAAGTTTTAATGGTTAAAATGCTGTTGATGGGTTCGGACGCATGCGACTGCATAGGATTTTATGGGGATTGAAGGGTTAAGTTATCTACGGGACGAAATGGGGCAATAAAATCTCGCTATCACCCCTCTTCGTAAGTTTCTGACACCACCACTATTCGGTAGGAAGCAGGTGGTAGTACACCTCAATTCCAGCAGCGGACTGTTACGTTTTGTTAAACATAAAGATACTTACCTCACGAGTAGAATTTGCAATCGATGACAATTTTTAATTCTTAGATGAGCTCTTAAATCTCTTGTTTTTGAAAGGTTATATTTTTTACCTTTGCCTCCAGTTCGTTCACTTTTTGCGTGAAGTAAACAGAACTGACCACGAACAAACATCATTAGGCCTACTGCAGATATATCAAAAGCTACGTGTACAGACACGCAGTACACAGCAGAGATCAACTCCAACAAAATAGTTAATATGTAACCAAATGTAACGTCATCCAATGGCGTCCATAATGGCAATATGTGCGGATAATAAACGATTCCTGGGTTATTATATTTAAAAAGCGCATATTCAATAAATGGTGATGTAATGTATACAACCGCTGTAAATAAATAAATTCTTGTTAAAAGCTTGAAAGTTGTATTGAATGATTTTGTATATCGTTCAACATAATATATAGAAACGCTATATTCGTCCTCATTATCAGATTCGTAATCCAGTGGCGACAGGTTTGCATTATTTAATTCTTCTCTTTCTAATTTTGATGCTTCCTTTAGAAGGGTACGCCACTGATCACCATCGTAACGCAGTGACAACAGCTTAATAACACCTAATCCAGAAAAAGAGAGGATACTGAAGCATTCGAAAAGACGGTCAGGATCGTTCATTGCAAGAAACAAATCTATTATTTGCATTAGAGTTGTGACCAGAAAACTGGCCATAGCAACGTTCGCCATCCAGTGTACTCTACCATTGTCGATACTCATAAATAGCCCTATTTTTCTGAGTGAATGCCAAATAAGGATCACCAAATGATTGTTACGGCAGGTCGTCAAAACTTTTACCGAAAAACGCAGCCGCTGGAGTCGTTTTCTCAACTATCAAATAAAAAAAATATTATTTAGTGTATTAAAATATTTGTCACATACGTTTATTTTAAAACAAACTTACGTTACTGATGTTCTCCATTGATAAAATGTAGCCAGTAGCATTAATATAATAGGTTAAGAAAATTAAAGAGAAACACAGCCCTCGAAGGTAAAATGAGGCTTGGAAGTATAAACGGCCAGATTTCTTCGAAGTCGAAAAATATTGATGCAATTAGTTTTGTTTCATGTTACAGTGACTCTCAAATTTAGGTTTTTTTGCTAAACGACTATTATTTTTAAAATGACGAGATTCTCTCCTCAGAATGTTACTAATGGCTTACCAATAATTGTAAAGTAAGTGGTGTTTATAATATAACTAATATAATGTAATATTGGACTTTGGCTTACCAGTATCATCAGTGTTCCATACCAAAATTAGCAAAATTGAAGACCTATAGAATTGGTCCGGTGTTTGTGTGTCTGTTATAAATACGCCATACGCCGAGACTACACAGTTTAAGGAGACTAAGTAGCTACGCAAATACAGGCGCTAAAAATTTAAAATTCGCTATGCACACAATACTAAGGAGATATTTGGACTAGGTGTAGGTGACAGTACAATGTAGCAGTGTGAACTTATCGGATCTGCACTTAATAAATTAGTTGCACAGTTTGTTTAGTAGTTTTCAAGTTACGAATACAAACATGTAGTTCCGTTGTACTATTATATATTTACATACATACATAAATACTCACGCCTGTCACTCGGAGGGGTAGGCAGAGAATACAGACTTCCATTTGGAAAATCCTGACACACCTCTCTCGCCTCCTTCACATTCATATACATCCATGCTTGTCGGATACGAGTACTCCTAATTTAGCCCATTTTCAATATATCGCCAATTTTGTCGATAAACTTTCGCCTAGGACGTCTCTTTCCGACTTTGCCTCAAATCCTAATCCTATTATATATTTTTGTGTTTATTACTACATTGTAGTAAGGTTGTTGCAAACAAATTCGAAGACACAAAAGAAAAGGATACGAAATACTTAAATACTTTAGCATATATAGACGTTTTCACTTTTTCATATTTATAGCCTGGAACATTTTCTCCTAAAGATCAATTAAATTAATTTCGTAAAAAACTTTCTTTAGAATTCTTCAGTTATTATAACATTGTAAGTTTTAATTGAGTACATAATTAGAGATAATCAAACAAATATTCTACTTTACCGAGTTGTTTTTATATTTTCTCTACAAGATAAAACTTTTTAATTGTATCTGCCTTAGACTATTATTTGAAAATAAAACTTACATACAACTTTAAATATTTTTGCAAACCCATACTATTTGCACGCTATTATTAAGTTTCACCTGTTTAAAAATCAAATAAACTACTACTGCTAGGACCTTCAAATCAGGCGCTCGTGAAATAATTTTGAGATTGTGACACAATCACAGAAATCGTAAATTATTACGATTTCTGTGGGCACAGTACTTCCTCATTCGATTTGCAGATGCAGTCGGTTGGTCAAGAGGTGTTTAGTATATGTTTGACCTCATCACGGTAAAATGAACATCACAAGATGCAATTGGGAATAGCAGTTCTGAACGGGTTCTATGAAGATGAAAGATGAACAAAAATTAAAAAAAAAATCTTTCTTTCTCTCTATCTCTCATAGACAGCCTTTTTGAATTCTATTCAATAATGCGCTAGCTGACATATATGTATATATAATAATATTTACCCAAACTTATCACACTGGGCAGGAAGGTTAGTGTCTATAGAGCCCTTGCAGCGGTAACGCTGCTCATCATCAGTAGTCTGTAAAGACTTTGATTTAGTGTTTCGGGATTTTATGTCATCAGGTTAACGTCAGACCTTCGTCCATCAATCGGTACGGTGAAACGAGAAGGAGAACTAGTCAAGGGGACTTATTCTCTTCTGCACAAAAATAAAATACATAAAATATTATTAAATATAAGTAGTTTCAATTTGAATTGCTTGTATTTGTAGAAATCGGAATGGAAATAGATTTACTGAATTTGTAGATAATAAGATAACAAGATGATATTACTCCTAGCCATATTACTGTTATCATTCAATCACCACTTTTCGTGTCACGGGTATCGTAAGAGGTAAGGAGACAGACTGTGTATTAAAAAGTATCCGTGGAAAAGCGTTAAATAAGGGTGGCGCCACTGTAGCAAGAGGGTTAAAAAGTTTTTTTTATAACATTTTATTCACAGAATTTCACCATAGTTGTTTATAAAGTAATTATTTTACTGTTTTAAACATTTTTATTTTCAAAATCACTCTCAACGTGTTTCACGGGGACTTTTTCTAGGTTATATTTACTAAATTATTTTAGACAACGTGAGTAGTTGAGGTTTTAAATACTGCAGTTTCATCAACTACTTTAGTCACCACAAATATTAAATTCCTCAACTCAGCACATTTCACTCCGTCGACAACTGCTTAGGTCATTTCAAACCCTCTAGCTACTCCCGCGTTGTTGTGGAGAGGTTTTGAACTGTTATTTACTGTTTACAGATGGACACTTTTTCAATTATTTTCCTATGTGACTTGATTCTTCTTACCTCTACACTCCATGGTAAGAGGCAACTCTGGAAAATGCAAGAGAAACCGATCGAAAATCTTACGGTTCCGATAGATGGTGTTGTAACCATTTCCTTCACACGTGACGGAAACGAATCCAGATTGGCAGCGGACGGCAGCGTCAAATGTGTGAAACGGGTGAAGCAAATCCTTACAATGGGAGTGGCCCACGTCCAGCTGTGGGATTTTACCAACCGTTAACGAAGAGTAGTATTAATTTGGACTTAAAAACAAAATATATACCATTTACTTTTACTGCTTCAATATACGTGTTAAAAAAAAACTTGATAGCGGAGACGGATTGCGATGTTTCACATCCTGCCTTTTTCATGTAAGAATAGAAAACACACAATCAAGTCCGGAACAAATTGCTACCTCAATCATAAGTTAACAGTGTGGCTGTATGTTTGTTTTCGTTGTGATTAATCGTACTGTTTTCTATTACTAATAATGGTACAAACCTAACGTATGCCTCAATCTTGTTTGTGCTAAGCAATTTAGAATCCAGGATGTCGGAATCCAGCTCTCTCGCCTAAAAATCTATTAATGTTCTTGTCTTAAAATGATATCACCATTATTTTATTTTTGCCTTCGATAAAATCTAAAACTTACTGTTAATTACTTTTTATTTATGTTAATTAATGAAGAACATAGAGCCACACTGGAAATTTGCTTTTTGGATTCGCCAGATTTACTTCACCGTCTTTAGAAATAAAAAAAATCTACTGGAAATATTATGTCTGATGGTAATGCGTATGAGACAAGTTTTGCTATCGGAATCTATTTAAGGTCTTCCGTATGTCCATAGTCGCTTTTTATGACACCCACAAGACAAAATAGTGTAATGAAATGGCTTACAATGTAAGCTTAGTTTTCTTGGCGCCGTACGTCATCCCTCCAAAGTATGACATACGGGTGTTGACTGTCTCGTTGGTCTAGTAGCCGTAAATGCGGTTGATGATCATGAGGTCCCGGACTTGAATCTTGGGTTGAGTCGAAATAATTTATTGGGTTTTCTGTCAAAAAATTATCAGTAGCAGTCCGGAGTCAAGAAATTGTTGGTGTTTCATCCCCTTGGCTCGGAAAGCACGTATAGCCGTTGGTCCTGCGCCTGGTCTTTCTCTGGTCGTGTCGGATAACCGTCCTATCGGATTATGAGAATGTGGGAGTTGAGAGTGCACTTGTCTTTGCGCACGTACACGTACACTATAATCCTGTGACGCGTAGATGACCAGCATCCGTTGTGTTTTGCCGCCATGACAAAAAGGAGGACATTAATCTAAATAATTGTTAGTTATTAAAAGTTTAGTAATTTATCGATAAAAATAAAAAATATACAAAAAACTAGAAAATTTATTTACATGGTGGAGCATGTAAAAAGATGAAGCACGAATATGGAAGGGTCACCATATCATTACCTGATACCGGAAATGGTACTTAAATTGTACATGTTAAAGTGTAATTGTAAACTAAAAGTCCGAACTCCTTAACGTTAGCATACATCTTATATGTTATAAGAATAAGTCTAGATAACGGACACAGGGTCTTTTACTTAAAATTAAAATCAAAACAAATTTTCTTTCAGGTTTTTTGACTTTAATAATATTTGTATAAATGATAGAGCTACGCTGCGGCTATATTATGACTGCAGCATAAATGGGACGACTCAACCGGGGAAGGACCACGCTCTAATGACTATCAGTGTAAAATAGTAGATTAATTCGTGAGCTTAGAGAATCGGAGACTTTTTAGGGTTCCGTAGTCAACTAGGAACCCTTATAGTTTCGCCATGTCTGTCTGTCCGTCTGTCCGTCCTCGCTTAATCTCTGTGACCGTTAGCACTAGAAAGCTGAAATTTGGTACCAATATGTGTATCAATCACGCCGACAAAGTGGAAAAATAAAAATTGGAAAAAAATGTTTTATTAGGGTAGCCCCCCCTATATGTAAAGTGGGAAGTGATTTTTTTTTAATTTTAACCCTAACTTGTGATATATTGTTGGGAAGGTATTTAAAAATGAATAGGGGTTTACTAAGATCATTTTTTGATAATGTCAATAATTTCGAAAATAATCGCTCAAAAAGTAAAAAACAATGTGTCCCCCCCCCTCTAACTTTTGAACCATAAGTTTAGAAAATATGAAAAAAATCTGAAAAGTAGAACTTTATAAGGACTTTCTAGGAAAATCATTTTGAACTTGGATGGAAAGTCGGAGCGCTTGCCGCGGAGCGTGCAATGTTGCACGCTCCATGTTCGCGCACGTACCCACTACCGGGAGCAGTTGCAGGAGCGCGGAGCGCTGCTGGAGCGCGAACATAATGGATACCCACCTTTAAACTCATAAGTGGGAACACTTATTGTGACGGACGGGAAACTACGGAACCCTACACTGAGCGTGGCCCGACACGCTCTTGGCCGGTTTTTTTATTTGTAACGAGGCATTCCACCTTAGTATTTAGGCGGTGACAATGTATTTGAATTTTGCGATGAAAATCTCGGTACCATTGGGTACACTGTGTTCCTGTATGTCCTAACTTTTACAAAAAAGATAGTAACATCTCTCGTAGTCTTTTACTTCTATACAAAATATAGTAATGTTCCTACAGAGATTTTATTAGTAAACGAAAGTGTTACACATAATACTAAATAATATTTTGTTTTTCCCTTCGTAATATTGTCCTAGCAAATATACCTGAAGTTGAATAAAAATATTCCAAAACTTTATTACAGAAATTCTGGGCTTCATGACCGTCCGCGGGTCCGTCTTTCATTTAGTGCGGTATTCATGTTACGCAGTTAGTTTTATAACATATCAAGATACTCTTTAAAACATGTGCGAGCGGTGAGTCATAATTTAATATGCACAAAATTATTTTGTATATTATTTCTGATAGATAATATATCTGATAATAGCTTTTTTTGTATAGATAGCTGTAAAATTATTAAGACTGGAACTTTAAATTGGAAGCAAAAACTGAATGTTGATGAAATATATACTGAAAATGAAACCAATGACTAACGAATCGCTCCAACCATTCTAACTAGTTTGCAAAGTCGAATTAAAGCAAAGTTCTACGACTGTTCATCCTTTAAATAATGGTTATCTTATTTTGAAAAAAATTCACGTAAAAAAGTAAGAATATCGCTATGCAGGAGCTATAAATTAAAAGAAGGTTACATTCCTGAATATCTATAACAAGAAGGCTCAATTGTTTGAGCGTGATGGAACTGATGTAGCAGATGTCACATTTGATCAAATTTTGGAAAAACTTCCTTTTCCTTAGGTACAGCTGAAGAAACGAGAAGTGTTCTATAAATTTCATAAACCTATTAATGTTTTGAAATATGTGATCTTGTTTTCTCTTTCCTTTATCATCATCATCATTACAGCCCTTCACAAGTCCACTCCTGAACTACGGGCCTCTCCCAAGTAATGCCACAAAGCACGATCCTGAACCACCTGCATCTATCGACTTCCTGCATGTCTGACCGGGTCGTCACTCCAATACCTTATCAGGCTACACACTTCACCTAAACTGCACGAAGTTGCTACTCGAGAACCTTTCTTCCTATCGGTCGAGCTAAATGGCCGGTCCAATGCCACTTCAGCTCACAAATCCGTTGAGTTTTATCGGTTACTCTGGTTCTACTGAGGATATCCTCATTTCTAACTTTATCACGCAGAGAAACCCCGACCTTAGCCCTCCCCATAGCTCGCTAAGCGATTTCGAGCTTTTTCCACTTTTGCCACTGCTGGCCTTCTTTATATTATTTAATTAAAATGGATGATTGTGTTAGAACTGAGATTTTGTTAAAGTATTGTAAAGGGTACTCCATTGTTGATAATCGAATTTACAAATCTTAGTTCATTAAAAATGTTAAAGTTTAAATGATACTCATAGTTCATAGCTGAACGCTGAATAAAGCAAATAAATATAAGCAATAAGTTAAAATGGCACATAAATAGATTAATTGATTTTCGAGTTTTGTTTCAAATGACTAATTAAAGCTGATTTTCGTAACACCAAAAAAAAGTTTTCCTTAAAATAACCAGTCCCCTGTGTCGTTTTCTTTTTAAATGTACAATATAAATAGAATATTTTTATATTTTTTTATAATATTTTTAGCTTCGTTTTAAATTACTTCGTTGGATAATTCGAGCAATAATATCCTTGAGACAATTTTTTCAGCTGAAATGACCCTGTTAGTAGAGAAATACCCATGTATGTTTCCGATCACTGCCACGGGATCTCACCCCGTGCCTCGGAAAGCACGTAAAACCCGTTTGTTTTTCTCCCTCCGATTGTGTCGGTTTACCGTCCCACTGCACTTGTGCTTGCGCACTATAATCCAATCCTGCGCCGATGGCTAATCTCTGTTGAGATTGGCCGCCATCACGGAAATTTGGTTACATTATTATTATTACACGTTATTATTATGTGGGGGTATCAATATAGTTTTCTCATCTGGTTGGGTTCTATAAATATATAATTATAAAGGGAAATGAAAAGATAAATATACATAAATAACAATAACATAAAATAAATACAAAAATACATATATAAACAAAAGCCCTACCAGATGGATGCCCTCGGCAGGGGAGACCAAACGGCCGAGGGTTAGGGGGAAAGGGAAAGAAACCGGCGGACGATGCGGGTGGTATCGAGGAGCACCGCCTTCTGCATTTGAGCCTGGAGTGGTCCGCCACGTAGCCCCAGCCGCCTCAGATGACCCGAGAGGCTGACTGGGATTAGCCCGTTTGCAGAGACGACTACAGGAATAATTTCGGTCGGCAGACCACCCCACATCTCGGTCACCTCGTAAGCCAGGTCCAGATATTTTGTTTGCTTATCTGTTTCGGCTTTCACGAGGTTCTCGTCACACGGAATGGTAATGTCGACCAAAAATATCCCTCACTATGCCCGGTACATCAGCACAATATCAGGCTTATTCGCAAGAATAGTCCTGTCTGTGATGATGGCCCGGTCCCAATAGAGCCTGGCGCGATCATTTTCGAGCACGGCATCCGGCAAGTACTTGTAATACGGCAATTTCCGATCCACGAAACCGTATTTCAGAGCGAGTTCCTGGTGTAGAATTCTGGCTACTAGGTTGTGCCTGTGGAATTACTCAGAGTTAGAAAGCGCTGAACAACTGGAGATGACATGCCTAAGTGACTCACCGGGATGGCGACAAGCTCGACAGATGTCGATGGTGCCATCCTTTAGGATGTATCTCCGATAGTTGTTGGTCTTAATAACCTGATCCTGTATTGCACAGACAAAACCCTCGGTTTCCCCGAAGAGGTCACCAAAGCGTAGCCAGTGGAGGGAGGTTACTGTGTCTACGAAAGGCCCATGTAGAGACTTGTAGAACCTCCCGTGGAGCTCCTTCTCCTTCCATACGGTCTCCCGGTCGGAAATTGTCTGCACTACCGGGTCTTGCCATTGCTCGTTGGCTAAGGATAGAGGGGTAAGTCCTTTATCACAAGAAATGACGTCCTTATAGAATGGATCATCCGATCTCGCCAGGAAGTAATTACGGAGGCTACACACTTCGCGATTATGCATGGTGAGCGCGCTCAAGAAGCCACGCCCACCATGCTTTCGCGGCAAGTACAGCCTCATTACCTGACGATCTCGGATGATGCATCCTGTGGGACGTCATGGTAGTGCGGACTTTTCTATCCAGGGCGTTAAGTTCAGTCTGAGTCCACCTGAGTATGCCAAAGGTATACATGAGGACAGGCATGACCCAGCCGTTATATGCTTGTGTCTTATTCACACCGGACAAAAGGCTGTTAAGCACTTTGGTCAAGCGTGCATAAAACACGTCGCAAACTGACTGTTTCATACCAGCCTCATCGATACCGATGTTCTGTGATATACCCAGGTATCGGTATGTTTCAGCTTCGGAAAGGGTCCTTAAGTTGACGGGCATAGATAAGTCTATGCCCTCAGAGTTAGCAACCCTCTCAACATGGAGTACCGCACACTTATCCGTCCCCAGCTCCATTCCAATGGAATTGCTAAATTCACAAGTGATGTTTAGCAATTCCATAAGGTGGGAGCGACTGGAGGCGAATAACTTGAGGTCATCCATATAGAAAAGGTGGGTTAATTTTGTCCCTCCTTTCCGTAGCTGAAATCCTCTCCCGGAGCCCTCCAGTAAGGTACTGAGAGGGTTCAGAGAGAGGCAGAACCATATTGGACTCAGACAATCGCCCTGGAAGATACCCCTTCCTATCCTTATGTGGTTTTCCGCAGCCATCATCCGCTCGCCCAGATGACAAAGGATCGTACTCCACTGCCCCATACACTGCTCGAGGAAGTCTCTAACTGTACAGTCTATCTTGTACAGTTCGAGAACTCTCTTTAGCCATGTATGGGGCACCGAGTCGAATGCCTTTCTGTAGTCTATCCAGGCGGCGGAGAAGTTCCGACGGTTGCGTTTCACCACTTTGCCAATGACCGCGTCAATGAGGAGTGGTTCCTTGGTTCCACGACCGCCGCCCCGACATCCATTTTGAGTGCGCGACATCACCTGATTTGAGTCCAGGTGACGAGTGATTCTCGCGCTCAAATTGGATGTTAGTGTCTTGTATGTGGTCGGTAGACACGTGATGGGGCGGTATTTGCTCGGGTCTGTGGTACCCTGGCCTTTAGGAACCAAATGGGTGATCCCAGTAGTGAAGAGGCTCGGGAGCGACTTCTGGTTGAGAACCTCTTGAAACTGTCGGGCGAGCACAGTGTGACACACCACGAACCCCTTCAGCCAGTAGTGATGCAGCCCGTCGAGTCCCGGACTTTTCCATTTCGTGGCCCTACGGACCGCCTCAGCTACGTCATCCGGCATTATGGTGACGGGGTCCATGGGCGTAATACCCGCACACTGACTCGCCACAACTTCCGTCCAAGGGCCCTCGTTGTGATTTACTGGCTCTGACCACAGGCTGCGCCAGAATGCGACCGTGTCGGCCTGATTCGGTACTGGGCCCGTTCCACTTACCATTGGTTGCTCCAATGATTTATAGAGCCTCTTCTGATCACTCTGGAAGAGACGATTCTGGTTGAACCGTGTCGACCTCTCGGTATATCGCCGAATTCGCTTTCCCCAAGCAGCAATTCTCTGCTTCAGGTCGTCTATGCGCTCCGTCCTATTTTGCATTATATCCGGCTGGGATAAACTAACATTTGTCCCAGCAAACGCCATCCTGACGGTGCGCACAATCCTTGGCCTGGTATTGCCTGACCTGAAGCATATCAGTCTGCCGATGAGGGCCCTAGCCTTTGCGATACGTTCTTCAATTCTTGTTCTCCAGGCTGGGATAGCACTACTTTGTCCAGTAGTGCGTCCAGCCGTGGAAAGTTTGGCGCCTATAATACGGCAGACTGCCAGTGCGGCGCCAAAGAGAATTGAGTCCGTCTCGCAAAGGTCCCGGCTGGCTTCCAAATAGGTCACCAGCATTGGGTTCAGAGCCCTCACGACAGCCCGATTCCGCTTGCTTAGGGCTATGCGGGGAAGTCGCGGTCGATTTTCGAGAGGCGTACCGCGCGTTTCCATAATCGCCTCTTCCAATGTACTCCTCATTTGCTCTATTTCTAGTTCCTGGGCGAATGTTCCATCATCATTTGAATCAGCTACCACTGGGGTATTCTCGGCGGCATCCACGTGTGCGGGTTGTTCTACAACTTATTATTATTATTATTATCATAATACCGAGACTTTTTTGAGGGCAATATATGCCCGAATTTTCAGAGAAGGTTCAGAATAAGTAATATACGCGAATTGGGAAGAAAATTTCGTTAAAAACGTTTGAAACATTCTGTCTTTTTATCTTTTAAATTGAGAATGCGTGGAAATGCATTATCCTATATATCCTATACCTTTAAACGAGCAATTCTTGTAATATATATATATATATATATATATATATATATATATATATATATATATATATATATAATCGGAATCTCGGAAACGGCTCCAACGATTTTCATAAAATTTTGTGTGCTGGGAGTTTCGGAGGCAATAAATCGATCTCGCTAGGATTTATTTTTAGAAAAAGTCTTTTGTGTGTTTTTAGGCAATGAAAAACTGCTACAATATCGTCAGAATAAGAAGGTAAATTTTGACAGCTTATTAATGATTACAAATAGCTTAGTTGGTATATTGGGTGGTCACGAAATCGTAATACCATGGTTCGAGCCCAGACCGACCGACCGACTTTTTTTAATTTTTTTTTCAAGTTCCTTTTCTTTTTTGAGAAAATCTATTTTATCGAGCCCTTTTTTATTATGTTTTAAAAACACGAATATTTAAATTAAATTAATTGCACTCATGATTTTTTTATCAAATAATATATAAAAAATATTATTCGTATTTCACCAGTATGTAATTTGTATCTAAATATAATTTCCAAAACACACGAATTAAAAAAAACCGAGAGAAAAAAACCGAGCGAAAAATACCGAACAAAGCTCGGTCAACCGGGTACTTTTAAATAATCGCCTTTTATAAATATCTGACGCTTAGATACTATTTTACTACGCTGAACACACTCGTAAGGGTTTAAAGAGCGCGTTTACACATAATTGTTGCCCATAAATCACATTAAATTTGGAATGATTTCAAATAAAAGTAGAAGCCTTATTTACTCGTAATTTCAAAAACTATGCAATATAAGTATCGATAACTATTTATGGGCTGATATTGTCGCAAGTAATGTTGTCAATACTTCAATAATTCTTGCTAGCTAAATACGGTTAGTATTTAAAAAAAGTTTCAATTGCAATTTCGGGCTGCTCGCTGGCGAAGCGCTCGTACCCGTACCCGGCGCGCTACGTCGCGTGCTGAAGGCACAGCGAGCGGTAGAACTTCGGGCAATGGAGTAGTTTTTCGATGGTTTTAGATTACTGTTTTTATGATTGAAAAGAATATTAATGTCACTCTGCTGTTTATTTCATATTAATATAGGTATATTGTTAGTTGTGATTAAAACAAAAGAACATTATTTTAGAACAGAAATTAATTGGTTGGAACCCTACTAGAGCGAGGCCTGGCGCCGACTCTCTCGGTTTTTGTTGGATAATTAGGTCTGTATAAACAAATTTCATTGCAAGTAAAACGAGGAGAAACATTCTCATTTTAATTTTTAATTTAATAATGTTTTGTTAATAAGAAACAGTTTTTGTTAGTAACTTATATTCACAGAGATATAAAATTTGTTAACAAAGCCATTGTTGATTTTGTATGTACCAAATAATTAACACAAATGACACGAGAGTCAGTTTACCACCCTGAAGAATATCCATTATTGGAGGAGTGAAATGCGAGTGATGAACCATAATTCCAATTATCCCATCCAGAAGTAAAATCATCTGATCTTGCTGACGTCTGCCATTCACCGTTAGAACGAAAGTTTCGAGCGTTAGACGCAAATAGATCACCCCAGCCGGCGGATCGTCCATCTGTGCCGAAACTGTCAAGAGATCTTGCATTGCTTATAGCAGACCCACTTCCAAAGCCGCTACTACCACGTTGCCAGCCAGCACCACCTAAGTTACGTAGAAATAAAATAATTAATTTATGATTTATAAATCGCTAATCGGCTAATCAGCTACGCTCGCTGTAAATCAAAGTACGCGAGCAACCCAGGTTAGATCCCCGCTGGCGCCAATGAAAGTGTTAAATACAAGTGGAAACATCCGTAACAATGATAGTGTAGCAAAGCGAGCGTTGGGCGTGCATGACAAATACACGTTTTAATGTTTGACGTGTTTTATGGCACGTGAAACATGAAAAAAGCTAATTTTATCACCCGTTGTCTTCTTATCGAGATCTATATGACTGCCTCGATGATTTAACGGCCGTTAGCGCGACTACCGAGTGTCCCGAGTTCAAATCTCGAGTCAGGGCAAAATCAGATATTGGGATTTTACATACATGCCTACATAGATAAACTGTCACGTTTGTTATCGAGGTAGGCGGCAACTACGGACCTCCATTTGTTACGATCCTAACACACCGCTCTCTTCTTTTACATCCATATACCTACGCATACATGCTCGTCGGTGAAGGGTACTCTTAATATGGTTCATCTTCAATAAATAACCGATTTGGTTGACAAAGTTACGTTCAGATCGTCCCTTGCCGACTCTCCACACACTTCTGCAACATAAAGCTTTGTCAACTTTTCCTTATTCATTGTTTCAACGTGTCCTAACCATCGAAGCATTCCTTTCTTAATCATAGTCACAACATCTTGAAAATCACACTTTTCTCTTATCACACAATTTCCCCCCCTATCAATCAGAGTCAGCCCTAACGTACCTCTTCAGCCGCACTTCTACAGCTTAATTTTACTTTCATGCTTCTGCTGCCACACGCAATTTTCTCTACCATACATTAAAATAGGGGCTAACACAGAATTATAAAAGCCATACGTGTCTTTTGTAACACATTTTGACTTCTACAGCAAGATCTCAGGGCCTCCAGACGTTACTTATTTTCTAAGTAACAAATTGTAAAAAAGAAATACTTTGAGCGAACGCATATCCACTAGATTGAAAAGACAGACAACCAATAAAAAATTGGCCAGATACTTACCGTAGGCGGTAATTTCCGTCAGACCTTATAAAAATAAACTCCTCAAAAAAATATAACGTGATGAGTATATAAGTAACAACTTATAAACTGAAGCTTAATTTTAAATTATCTAACTATTGATTTTTACATACTTTTTGTAAGCAGGCTCAATATCCCCCAGACAAAATAAAAATGTCACTGTAAGTACAAGCGCGAGCTTATCAAGCTTCAGAGGGCTATAACACAGCTTCAATCAACTTAAGTTGTTAATAGTCTAATGGAAGTCTTCTTACAAATAATAAATAAATATTTTAACTCCTAATTATAAAAATAATAACAGTACAATAAAATAGGAACACAATAAAACTATTAAAGAAAAATTTAACACAAAATTGTTGCCATAAGGACGAAAGATTTTTTTACTGAATATGTTTAAAAAATGAATGTATAATACAGCAATTAATTTCACAAAGTAAAGTTTTTTTCGCATTTAATCTTACAAGAAACAACCACATGTGTACTATGTATATTTCATCAAAAGCAGTCGATCATCAAAAGATCATGCCACCGACTTTTAGTAGTTTTTTATTTGATGCTATAAATATAAACAAAGATTAATTGACAAATATTATGATAAGTAAATACCTTTCTCATCTTGTACCTGTAAATTAGCTGTCGGCCCAAGCTAACAGGTATATGTATTCGTTCAAAGTACTTACTAACTGTATCCCACACATTTTGTAACTCAGAGAATAAGCAACCTCTGAGAACCCCCAATAAGGCTTTATTTTGACGGCCATAAATACCTACGGGCTTCAAAATATTCCCTCTCCGAGTATAATCCGAGCTTAGTCCGATATTCTCTCAGAGCTACCAACCCTACATTTCAACATGGAGGTATTCGCGTAAAGTAATCCATGAGGTACAAGTGCCCGTTTGTGCATATGGCTGTACAAAGAAATGGTGCCGGGACTGAGCGTCTACCGTTAATTGATGCCCACAAAATGGATGACGTTACATCGCGCGTCTGAAACTGGCGCTGGACGCGACAACATGCGGGCTGCCAGCCGAAAGCACGAGTTGCTGCATGACCACGCAGCAGTGCCACTCATCCATCATCCCCGCCAGATGGCTTGGTGTCAGCAGGGTCTTGCCGATCCCAGCAATCGGCACCCGCTACAGCTGAAGTACACTGCATGCAACGGCCACAGATACTAATAGGAACGCATTGCGGGCGTACTTTCGGGTAAAAGGGAAAGAAGCTAGAGGCTTTAAGTACCGAGCCAGGATGCATCGCTGTTTTGCTAAGCTGGAACCACCTAATACGGAGCTGTACAAGATGGATTGTACAGTTCGAATACTTGAATGGTATATGGGGAAATGGAGTACGATCCTTTGTCGTCAAGACGAGTGAAATCTGGATGTAGAAAACCGGATAGATGCTGGAGAGATCTGAGAGGGGATTTCAGCTTTAAAAAGCAGGGATGAAAGGCCCACCTTTTCTACATGGATGACCTTAGTGTAACATGTCCTCTATATTTAATTTGGTTTGAAAATATTAATATGCTGTATGAAGGAAAACCATAAACAAGAAACCTCATCCCGTTCCGCTGGTATCTTGTGTTGGAGAATATGCCATTCTTTTTCCCAAATGCTAACTTCACATGTTGAACCTTGCTGATCAACGAACAAGGTGCTGATGACCAAATTATTGTAGAAAATTCACAAATCTTACAGACTGGTGATAAGGAATAGTGTAAAAAGAAGCAGCGTCGGAATACAGCTCTGCGTTCATCGACTCGTCTGTCCAACGTGGTGCGTCTATCAAATCTACCAAGTGATGCAACTTATCGACAGAAACATTTTTAGAAAAACCTTTGTACAGCAACGGATTTAAAAAGCTACTGATATGTGATAAATCTTTCAAATTTAAAACAAGAAATCTTAGTTTTTTCATAAACATCCATTTATTACGATGTTAAAGATCCATTTATTAGGATGCTTATAGAGTATTATATATACATAATTTATTGTTTTTGCAGTATTATAGCACCCTAAATCAAGAGACCTTTTCATAGATTTTTTTTGAATTTAGCCACTAATACACATACCTGGAGATCGAATAAGCCGGCTTCCATCAACCTCAATAAATGCCGCCACGACGGCCAACAAGTACAGAATTTTAAACTGCAATAATAATTTTGTATTAACATGTGTTAAAGGATAGTCTAGCTCAAGTATCCATTATCTGTAGGTTAAAGAAATTTTATTATATTTTTAGAACTTATTATATTGAATTTTAGATTATTCCGCTTTTATTTATAAACGGTGATTCTCCTGGCCATTCACGAATATTACTAAATTTATATACAAGTAGTTATTTAGTTAAAACACAATATTCGACATCATTTTTTGTGTGAAACTTTGTCTTAATTTTTTAATTGATTTTTTTATCCCAAGGAGCTACGAATACTAATGCACGCATAAAATTGCAGCTTGCATGTTTCACTTCACATTGTAAGTGACATTTTTATACTCGGGAATAAAGTATCTGTATTTTGATACTTAATCAACGATAGATGTATTTCTTTACGCTTATCATAAAGTGAACTGTATTTTTTTAATAAAATAAGGGTGAAAAGCGAGCACACAGTCTATAATAAAGCTGTAATATGGCTCAACCAAATAAAATGTGCACTCGTTGTGGCCTTTACTTCTAGAAAAATGAGAATAATAATATAATGCTTTCACAGAACTGACATGATCTTGTAATACGAAAAGATATTTAATAATTGTATAACTATAAGATTTAACATTATATACCAAATTGCCTGTAAAGAAAAAAATAAGTAGACAATAAAATTGTGAGTTTCTTTTACAGAAACAACAAGATATTACTGAACTTCTAATAAGAAAAATTACAAACTTATAACCTGTTATAATTTAATAGTAAGTATTAATATAAAATTAATAAACTACTTATTTAAGAATTTGACAAAATGTGTAACAAAATATTGTATTGTTTTCGTATAAATATGTCGCCGCAATTAAATTCATCGACTTTTTAATTGTTTACGAGATTCTGAAGTGTCCATTGAACAGTAATAATTGATAACAATTAAACCATAAAAAACAAACACCTATAGGGGTTTCTTACGGCAGTGCCCAGCAGGTCGTTTTGAACGATGCTTTAGTTCAATAGAGCTCGTTTCAATTTTAACAGACAGTAGTTTTCATAGAATAGAGAATGAAAGAAGAGTACACAGTCCACCTGATGATGGTAAGTGAATGATGTGGCCTATAAGCATCCACGTCTGTCTGCGATTAAGGATCAAATTCAGAATGTACTCGTAAAAAGGGTTATCGTTGCTCTTTACTCGTGTTTCTACTTTACGTACATTAGTACTCGAACAAAAAGCTATTTTTCTGTTCTTCCCACAATTTTTTAATTCTGATAATTTTAAATTATTCTACACTTTTTTTATTTATCAAGGTCTTAATATGTGTTAAACCTATTTATGAATAATATATTAAATTATATTAAACGAATTACTTACCAGCATTTTTGCTACAGGCTGTTTTGATTAGTATAGTATTAGTACCAAGGTGGATCTCCTATATATACTAGCGTATCCTTGTTCATTATTATGTCCGTGTTCTTGAACAACCTGCCCCGACAAAAGTTCTTTAATTTGTTCTTTTTAAGCGTCACGCGCAAAACATGCTCCGTGAATCGTTGCCCATAAATTATGCCATGAACCCATTAAAATGTTCACAAAGCTTTTTTTGTGTCCTATTACAGACGAGCTCCATATTGTTGTTTTGTTATACAAATGCATACGTATACGTAAACGTAGTGATTATATTCTCTCTGTGATTTTTTTTTATAGAATAAGGGTGACGAACGAGGACACAGTCCACCTGATAGTAAGTGTATGCTGTGGCCCATAGACATCTACATTCATCCTCGATTTAGAGTTAAAACGCAAATGCGTTGGCATCCCTGAGGACTAAGACGGAATGCCCTAGTTTTCAGTAAAAAAGGGTCTACGAATCTCTACAATCACCATATGAAACACTGTCGTTTAATAGATTAAGCTGCTATTTTACGCTGGTACTCCATGAGAGCGTGATTCTTCCCCGGTCGAGCCGACCCATTCATGCTACAACCATAATATAGCTGCAGCGCGGCTCTAACACGTACATAATCATCCCCAATATCTTCTATCTACCGCTTGTATTTTTTTATAGAATAAAGTTGACAAACGAGCACACAGTCCACCTGCTGTTAAATGGATGCTGTGGCCCATAGACATCTACGTTTATCCTCGATTAAGAATAAAAACGCAGATGCTTTGTCACCCCTGAGGACTATGATTGAATGCCTCGTTTCCAGTAAAATGGGTCTATATATTGTATGCAGATAATCTCCGTATTTACAAATAACCATTGAAGATCTTCCTAAAGCAATCAAATGTGTCAATATAATGTGGAAAGGATCAAGCTCTCGACTGGAATTAATCGTATGGTTTAACTGTGAAGCCTTTGAAATCCCAAGCCATAATTATTGGGAATTCAAGATTCATTTGCAAAATAAAAAAAAATGTCAAGTGCAGCCCGTTATATTTATTAGTGTCCTTATCACCTATATCGTACGTAGTTAAAAAATTAAGATATCCTTTTGAGTTCCTGTTTTCTTAGTCTTTCATGGACTCTTTAAATTAATGCAGTAAGTCGTAAAAAGTTTGTTTGCTTTACACCCTGAAACCTATTTTTTACCCATTTCCACTAAAATTACTCTTGCACAATCTTTACTACTCCCTATCCTCAACTATGTTGACATTTATTACCTTGATATCACAGAGGAGCTACTTAAGAAACTTTAGCGACCTCAAATTCTCTTTATACGGTTCATATTTGGCCTTCGTGAATATGACCATATCTTGGAATATCGCACTAAACTCAAGTGGCTTCTAGTTCGCCTTCGTCGCACACTTATATTTTTGCTGCTCTCCATCTCCCTGCGTCTTATTTAATATATCGTGTTCTCCCTGTCAACGGGAAAGTTTTAAATTGCTCAGCTCCTGTCACGTCTTGTGCATTCCTCTTTAATTGTGATAAATCATTCTCTGTCCCTTGAGGAACACCCTGTAACGTTCAAGAAACAAGTTAAAGAACACTAGTTGTCTCTCTAACCCCTCTCTCTTTCTCCATTAATTTATGCTCATTGATCTACCCAGTCTTGTTAGTACATATTTTGCTATCGTTTCTTATTTTAGTGCACCTGTTAATGTTTCTCTTATTTTATTATATTATTAACAGAATTGTCTGGAAGAGATTGATGTGTAGCAATAAGAGCGCTTTTTGGTTTTTTCTCAATATTTGTTTATTTTTTTATATTTATTATTCCTTGGTGTACAATAGAGAGTTATTTTATTACATTTTCTCTTTTTACCCGTATATTTTTTGCCACATACCCTCTGTAACTTATTGAATTCCTGTTGTTTTCTATTTATTTGCCCGTCACACGTACGTCTCTGTGTGTCCAAACCGGTAATAATACCAAAATTAATATTTCATTCTAGTATTCATGGCTCAACACAATAAAAGTGCAAATAAAATATTGAATTTATCACGATGTACTCACCACTTTTACTGTGTTTTGATTCCTATAATTATTTTTATTATATTATTTACAACACATAACTAACATCGCTCACACAGTTGGCGGACGAATAAAGTCGAAATACAAATGCTTTATGTGTATTTCTGCAGATACGAATTTTTTTAAAGCGAGCAGTGAGGAGGGCTGTGCACAGGATTTCTCTGGCTAATAAACTTAGAAATGAAGATATCTTCAGTGGCATCTGAGTAATCAGTATAGCCCAAAGGATCTCTCGGAGAAGCTGAAGTTGCAATAGCCGGCTCAATGGACCGACAACTGATGCGGAAGAAAGGTTCTCCAGTGGCAGCCTTGTACCGGAAGAAAAGTTCTCCAGTGGCAGCCTCGTACCGGAAGAAAAGTTCTCCAGTGGCACAATCGTACCGGTAAGCATAGTTTAGGACAGTCCTCTTCTGGATGGAGTAGTCTGGTAAGAGATGCATGAACTCAATGGTTACAAGTTACTTAGGACCTTACTTTGTGGCGTTCCTTAGAGAGGCCTATATATGTTTAGCAGTACACTTCTGACAGACTGTAATAATAATGATGATGATGATGATTATGATGTTTTATACGCTAACATGTACCTTTAGTTAGGATACTTATATCGTAATTATTATTATTATGATAATTTAAAACGTGATCTTTTAAGCACTTTTGCCGGTGACGCCAGTAGAGTACTTTTTAATGACATTACAAAATTATGTAATTTTATACTTTCTGGTAATGTCAATCCTATTTTCATTCCCTACTTATATGGGGCAAGATTGTGTGCCTTCAAAAAAAAGTATCGTCCTATTGCTGTTGGTTCCACATTTCGACGCTTAACTTCAAAATTAGCTTCCAGGCACATAATCTCAAACCTTAAGACAAAATTTCAGCCTACTCAACTAGGTTGTGACTCGGCTGTACATTCGGTACTTACTTTTTTAACAAATTCTAATGCAGATGTTCTTCTGAAGGTTTTAACTCTTGCTTATAACTCTATTGATAGGGTAACCCTGCTGGAAGAGGTGGCTAACAATACCCCCGAAATTTATAATTACGTTTGGCAATGTTACAGTCAAAATTCGAACTTGTTTTATCAAAACCATATTATTGAATCTGCTGTCGGTGTTCAGCAGGGTGATCCACTAAGTGCAGCTCTTTTAAGTTTGAGAATTCAACCTATTATTTCAAATTTGAAATCCAAGCTGAATGTCTGGTACCAGGACGACGGTACACTGGGAGGTAAATCAGATAACGTCCTCAGTGATCTTACTCATATTTTTCAATTTTTTTTAAATATTGGGGTTGAAACAAATAACAATAAATGTGAAATATTTATTTCCATTAATTTATCTAATTCGAACAGACATACTTTAATTCAAAATTTCAATCATATTTCTCCGGGAATAAAAACTATCAATACGGAATCGTTATACCTGTTCGGTGCTCCGTTGTTTTTCGATAGCATTAAACCTGTTTTAAAAACAAAATTTGATCAATTTTTAAATCCCTTCGATAAATTGTATATCTTAAACCCCATATTGCTCTTACTATTTTAAAATATTGTCTCCTTGTACCTAAATTTACATACTTAATACGCTAAGTCCAGTTTGGAAATGTTCAGATATTTTTAAAGATATTGATAATCATCTTAAAATAGCTTTGGAAAAATATCTAAATTTGAGATTAAATATATCAGCCCTGAACCAAGTTACTTTACCTACAAAATTTTGTGGTATTTAGTGTAAGAAATCTTTCTAGCGTCGCATTGCCTGCTTTTCTTGCTTTCGTGCATAGTGTCGATGACATATGTAACATAATTTTAAATAATAAAGTAGACCTGTGCTTTGCTGCGGAGGCAAGGCAAACATGGCTAACGCTCTGTCCCAGCGAAAATGCCCCACTGGAAGTTAACTAACAAAAACAGTGGGATGTACCGTTGGTGCGGAGTGCCCAGAAAGATTTATTTCACAATTTCCACAATGACCAAGATCAGGCTCGCCTTCTAGATGTTCCGACTGATAATTATAGTCACTGTTTATACGCTATACCATCAAGTAATCTCAGGACATTGCTTGAAATTGCATAGTTTGAACGAAGTCATGCGAAGGGCTTTTGTCTCCATAAATATTCCCTCGGCTTTAGGGCCATGCGGGATATTTAGAAACGATGGCAAGAGACCCGATGGTATGACTTTGGTCCATTGAGAGAGAGGAAAAACCCTAGTGTGGGATGCTACTACTCTTTTAGAGCCGGGGGCGGCGTCAGAGGCAGCTGAATTAAGTAAATGGCGCCAATATGAGTATTTAAGAAATGACTACATATTTGTGCCAGTTGCTGTAGAGACTATCGGTCCGTGGAGTCCACGTGCAGTGAAGTTCCTAAAGGAACTGTATACACGAATAGTTGTCAAAAAGAGGGCTGGTTCTTTTCTCGCTCAAAGGCTAAGTTTAGCTATTCAGCGAGGAAACGCAGCCAGCTTCTTAGCACGATACCACGGGGAGCAGGACTTTTTCGCAATTTAAATTTTTGGTTTTAGTTCTTTTATAATACAGTTTTTTTATATTGTGTGTAATGAATATAAATTGTAAATATTTTAATTGAATTTGAGGAATTCTTAACTTTGTTTCTTAATAATATTCATTATTGTTATGTAGATAAAATTATATAACAAATAAATTTAAATTAGGTATAATTTGTAAACGTGGTAGAGTATAACATTATTATATTATTATTTTTAATTTAAGGAACATGCTGCAGCTATAGTTGTAGTAATGTTATAGCACGAATCGGTCGGCTCGACCGAGGAAGGACCACGCTCTCACAGAATGGCAGCGTAAAATAGCAACTCAACGCTGTTGTGTTCCGTATGGTGAGTGTAGACAACCAGAGACCTTTTTTTACTGGAAATGA